AACTCAGGTATTCACGTCGATCGTTGAATGGCCAGACTTCTGTGCGAGTATCCCAGGAGAACTGCTATGGTGCTCAGAGAGATCTTCGGCTGTCCAACAGATGAATCACGATGAGGTTCCGCCGGCAGTGGCGGTGGTGTTGGCGGCGGCGGCGGCCTCGTAAGAATATTTAGCGTAGAAAGACGGGCGCGGTATCGGTATTTCGCTTTATTGTTCTTAATAGGCGACGCTAAAGAGCTCATTGATCTTGGCCAGTCTACTTAACATGAGAATTGAATTAAGGAGGAAATTCATCAAGTAGGAGTAGTCGTCCGGTAGAAGAGAGAACAGGCGGGATCAAGCTTTCAATTTATATCTCGAGCATACGTTCCCGACGATCGACCTGCCGTAGGACTCGCTGACTCTTTCGCGCTCTATCAGCTTTCGTCATCCGGGAAGCTCTCGATGGAATCCTCGTGGGTTCTCCTAACCCCAGATAGGTTATACGTAGGATCAATTATAACCATAACCATAACGTTCCGATATGCATCGGGGATATTCGGATTCGCGCGAAAGTCAAAGTGGTCCGTAGACCCAAACGCCGAACCCTCGGCTCGAAATAACCTCACGTTGATGAACAATGTCAAAATTCAGGGGCCTGCCAATCGATGGTTATGATGGACAAGAGGTCTTCGAATCACTATCGACGGACGGGGAACTCGGGCTCTCACCATCGTCCGGTGGCGGCGCCGATTTCAACTCGTCCCGATTGTTCCAAATGCTTCCGTGGTCTACCGTCCAGAAGAAGCAGCGTTCGACCCAGAATCGAGGTCTGGGAAAATTTAGAAGGTCCGACGAGGAAACGGACGAAGACCGACAAAGTCGACCGACGGACGCTCTCGAAGAAATATCGATTCACCTGTTAGCTCGCGAACACTACTGCGAATTAGCGAAAAATTACGGCCTCCGAGCTTCGTACAAAGACGAACACTTCGGCGGTGTTGCGAGTGCGCAGAGCTTTCTCCCGCTCAATCTCAGCTCGGCTGCAGTGATTTGTGAGCCACTGTTTTCGGCTGTAATGCGTTTAGCATTAGCTTTCGGTCGGAGCTCATCTCGGTCGGCGGCGGCGGTGCCACAGCCGCTCGTCCGGTCGTGTGAAGTAGCCATCAGACTAGCCAACGAGCAAGCGACCGGTCGGTGCGTCGTCGTTTGATAGCCGAACAAGCCATTCATACACGGAGCGGCTGTCGATACTGATCGTCGATTCCGGCTCGTGAAATACGATGTCGGGGGAGGAGACGGTGCTCTGCACAGATGATTCGTTAGGTGCTCCACTTGCCGCCAGGCAGCCGAGCGCCCGGCTGGCCAGGAAGGCGGGTGAGCGGCTCGTTCGGGACCAGCAGTCAACTAGTCGAGGAGCAGAATAGCGCCGCCTCGGCGTACGCTCAGGTTTCGAACGGAATGCGCTGCCACCCAATTTCCTGTGCGGGATATCGATGGCCCAGATCACAGAGCCTACCGCCTCCGAAGGCTTTCGATCGGTGGAGGCAGCCGACACCGCACTCTGGTAGCGAATGTTGCCCTTTTCTTTCATTTCTCAGTTGGATTTATCGTTCTGCACAGTTTTCCGTGTTCTTCGCCGGATTCGATCGTTGGTCCTCGCCTGAACCCACCGAGTGGTCTCAACTCAGGACCTACAGTCTGTGATCCGAGAGGGGGGCTCGCGAATCCATTTGAAACCTTTCCCTCCCGCGGGAGAAATTCCTAATGGGGCTAAATCGGTCCTTAGTTGGCAGATTTCCTCAGGAGGTCCCAAGAACCGGCTCAAGCCTTTCCGAAGCCCCGAGGACCGGACTGATGTGCACCGATAATCAGGGAGTTGTCTCCGATATCGAGGAAGAATTCATCTACGTGGCCATACATCGAGAGCTCGTGTCGGGGCGCGGAGCGAATGTCACCGAAGCGCCGCTGGTGAACGATCTTATCTCGCACGATGCTCATTCTGTATCGTCGAAACGGCAGGAGTCGAGCAGGATGGAATCCGGGAAAAGTTCCCCGAGGGATGGCCTCTCACGACGTCATCGTTGTTGTTGTTTAATCTCCGTCATCGTTACAGAGAGGAGCACAAGACGGAGTCAGACAGCGTGCGAAGAGGGTGGGGCCTTGATTCTCGTCGTCATTGTACACTACCGAGCAAAACTGGTAAGCGACCAGCAGTCACAGACCGAAGCATTTACGGCGATACCAACGAGTCGTGGCTCGACTAGCATCGGTATTGACACAGACGAGTGGAGGAGGTCAACACATTCGACGATGATGTACAGTTCGACAAATATCGTTCACAATCATCGCAACCGTTACCTTTCGCTCCTGACTGCGATTCCATTCAGTGAATCCCTCGGTGCTCCCGCAGCTTGAGGCCGAGGTAATCATTGGATTCTGTCACCGGTCCTTAAGCGGGAATTCCTCATCGAGAGGCTAGTGCGTTCCGAGAGCAATGCGATCGTCCGGAAGCCGAAAATCATTCGCGTCTGTCCTGAAGTGATTCTGAGAAGCCACAGTTCCCCGGTTTCCGCGAACCCAGACTTGAAACCGAAATCTGGTGTCGTCGCCATCGAGCGCGGTACGGAGAGCTTTCACGGGAATATCTGCTCGAGATTGTTCACTGGAGTACCGAAAGTGTCGGGAATCCGGACAGTAATTCGGTCGGTAATCGGACATTTTCACTTGGGAATAGATGAAGTGCCGTAACGACGACGCCACGATCCAACCCAGATCCGCCTTTGTGCCTCACTCATTTCTGCCGGAGCCTTGCTTCTAACACTTAATAGATAAATGGCTAATTGAAAAATCTTAATTCGCTGTGTGTGTTATTTTTTGATGGTCAGCGGAGCAGCCACAAGTCATCGTGTCCAATATTCTACCGTCATTCACACAGACCACCAGGCGCAATCTGTGGAATTCCATCTTTAACCCTCGGGAACTCTCTCCAATATTCGGCACGGACGCACACCCCCCCCCTCCCCCAGATGTATCGCGGGGCGTCACGTTCAGGCAGACGGGGAGATCAGCTCTGTCGCCCGTGATCACCATCGACGTCGCCGAGGCCGGCTGTCGCTTCGATTGACCATAAGATGCTCTGATACTGCGTCGAGGCGTAGAGACGAAACTACAGGGAAAACAGAGAAAGGGAAAAACAGAACGGCATCGTGTAAGTCGTACGCGGGAGTGAAACGCACCCCCGTCGTGAGAGTCTGCGACGACGTGGGCTCATAAGATGCTATCTCAATGGATTGGCAAATAAGTCACGGACGAGTCGATTTCCAATGAACCAAACACTCTGTTCTTCTCACTCCCTCGCTGGCAGTCTGCAGGGATTCACTCACACAAAAGTACTCACAAACATCGAGAGCGGAGCAGAGAAGAGAAAAAATACAAACACGAGCGGCTGCTGACACTATTCGAATGAGATCATTCAGCGATATCCGGGCAGAGCGTCTTCTCGCCGTGAACTTCGCGATCGGAGATGTCGAAGTCGCGTGTCGAGCATTAAATTTTCCGAGAAAGAACCGAATACGTAATCCTGATCACGTGAAACATTCTGTCCGATTCGGAAATCGATTCCTCCTCAATGGATGGCGACCCAGCTTGGATTCCAGTCCCAGCGTTGATTTCTAGTAGTGATCAATCCGAATAACGGAGACGGACTATCTATCATTCCTGGGACGAAATTCGCCGAGAGGATCCCCGACTTTTCCCTCGTTCTGTTTTCAATACAACGGAGGTCTCAATGGCTTTCTTTGTGGAAATTCGTCGGATAATTGGCCACGGACCAAGTGAAAGGCTGTCTACGTTACGTACGGAAGCCCGTCGTTCGCCGTCGTCAAGAGCCCAGGAACTCGCTCGTGACCGTTGATTCAAACTCAACGGCTCCGTCGGAGCAAACAATACTTGAAGTTGGTAATTCTTTCGGCACGGTTTGCCTCATCGAGTAAGTCAAGTAGCGCAGATCGCTCATGGCCGCTTCTGCTTGCCTGCGGTACTTTTTTTCTCTATCGTCGTAATATCCGAAGTCTCGGAACATACTCAAGAGTTTACCCAGCTGGGCCAGTGGAGCACTGTGGGCTTCGGAGGAACGCATCAGACGGACAAGTTTTCAGCGTGAATCCTCATTCGGTAGAAGTATCAGGACTCGACAGCGAGATGAAAGCAGACAAATTCTGATGGTCGGCAGACGCTTTGTGATTAATTCATCAGATCTCGTCGAAGATACTCGCGACGACCGATCATTAAAACCCCGCTCTCCATTGCAGAAACGCTTATCGGTTTCGTGGGAGCGTGCGGTGATCGCGGGAGAACGAAAGTCCGGCTCAGCGGATCCCCGGCTGCTGTAAGGACTTCTCCAAAACACGGTCGTCGCGTTCCCGTCAACCTGTTTCTGTATGTCCCGGAAAGCTCCGATCGATATTTATCTCGGATTGAATTCATTCTTACAGCGGCGGGGACGGAATTCGCACGAGGGCTCACGAGCCTAACGGGAGTCACCCTTTTCAAAGTTCGGGGACCACCTCGGGAGCTTGAAGCGCTAATTTGACGAAAGCCAGGAGGGCCACACACACACGCGCGCTTCAAACTTCAGCGAGGAATTCCTCACATTCTGAGTGACAGCTCAGCCGTTGAGAGTCGGGTTCGATTCGCAAAAAGATATGTCGGCGTGTTGGCTGCTTCCGTGACTGCTGCTTAACAACGTTAAGAATGACAGTCACTCCACAAACGAAAGCGAACCACAGTTTCGACGAAGGGAGCTGGCCTGTCTTCGAAATCGTCCGAGTATTCGATTCTTCCTTCGTACCAACCTCAGCCAGCGTGGCATTCGGACGACGCTCAGCTACCCAGGAGAAGGAACGCGGGAGCGGCAGGCCTGATCGGGCTCCGTCGTACTATGTACTTGACTCGTGAATAGAACTAGCTTTGTGCACCACATATTGTGATTGAGTGTGACGAGGACAGATATCTGTTAACCTTACATGTTTATTTATTTATTTATCCAAACATTGATCCAATATTAATCGTAGTAACAACGCGTAGTGAAGCGGACCAGCTTTCTATTTTATCGTTTCTTTTCGTTCACATCGCAGAGATTAATAAAATGGATGAACTAGGTGCTAGATAGAGTCATCTGTGGTTTTAGAACAAGGTCGACAGGCTAGCTCAATCAACAGCTCCAAGCAAATATCTCTGAAAAATGCAAACCCATATTCGTTCGAACGGGCACCGAGCCGGCTCAAGACGATTCCAAAATTCTCCATGGTCGACCGCGCACCATGCGCTGATCTGACCGCGGGAGAGCATAAAAGACTTGAGAGCCTGATGTTAAGAGTTGCAAAGGCGACACTCCCGGAGTTCCGTCAACTCGACCTCGTCGATGTTGTGATATTGTCGATTTTCGCCAAGCTCTCGACGACTTCACGCCGCAGATAACTCCATCGATTGTCGGTTTAGCACTGATGACGACATGGGTCGCCCTCTGGTCCAGTTCGTTTCCCGTCTCAAGCTTTCGTACGAATTCGAGTGATCGCGGAGCCGTGCTTCGATCTCTGCGGTAATTCGTGTACGTCCTGACCATAGTTTCCAATCCATGACAAAACTTATACGTCTCTCAAACAATCGCTTCCTCTTTTTCAAATATATACTCAAATATATCTCTCAAAATCTATGTATTCTTCGTTCCGCTTAAGGTTAACAATCACCAATCCTCCTGTTCTAACAAAATGAGGATCGACTAATATCATGAAGTTTCGATTAGAGTATGTAATAGCAAAAGGTTGATTAAGGCATAATCGGAACATCCGCATGTCTGACGCGAAGTTCCCGGAGCGACGACGCGCCGCAACTCAATGCTGAGAATCGTCTCCCATTCTATTGGAACTCTCTTTCCGTCTTCGGTTCCGGAAGTTTCTATTCATACCTCTCTTCGCATCGAAGAATCCCGTCGTTGTTCGTTCGCATCGACCACTTGGCGTTAGCAGTATCGGAGATACTATCTTTCGATATCGTAGTTCCACTGACCGTGGCGTCTCTCTTAGATGTCCATGGAGGCAGAGCATAATCGATATTGGTAGAGATTATAATTTAGTTTGTAAATCTGTTTTCGCTCAGTTCTTCTGAATTTTCGTTCAACTTTTTTTCTCATCCAAGTAGGTCATATAAGGTCCTCTTCTAAAAGTCCTCTTCTCAGATGGCGTCCGAAGGGACACTGGCATCAAGTCACTTGTCGTCCTGCTGGGATGTTTTTTTCCTTTAGGTTGGTTCGTTGAATGATAGGTTAAGTAATGGGAGGGTCGCTCCGCGTGCTCAATCACTAAGTCACACACACGGTCTCCCTTCTCTCAGGAGTTGCAATTGAGTGAGTTGGATGTCTTTTCGCATTTAGGATACAATCTTCCTTCTTAGCTGAATATCTTGAGATCGATAAGGCCGCAGTTACTTCGCACACATGGTTCGGGTTTCTTGATTCGTTTCTAGATCATCTGGGTTGTTAGGTTTCGAGGCCGACGGATCAAGGACCTGTGCCGCGAAGAACACTGCCGTACGGATGATCATAGCCTCTAAGAATGACCCTCTCTTCCGGACCCTGGCGCAGCGTCGAAAGTCTTTCCCCGAGTGTTGTCTTGACCCCAGAGATTGTAGCGACTCGCATCGTTGGCACGTTCCCCGGTGGTCTGTGGAAAGTGGATCATTAATTATTATTACTCATCATAATATCTTCTGATTCGACACCATGAGACAAGGACCGCCTATCATTGAAGACTATATTCACCTTGAAACACATTGCATCGAAGTCGAGGTTTCCGAAACCCTCCTTCAGAACCGAGTAGCCAGAATCCGAGTTTCCGAGCTGTGGAAGGGAAATTCAAAACCTTCATCGAATTCCTCCGGTTCCCGTAATGCCCTCGGACAGTATTATATTCAAACTCTGCTCTTACATCTGAATGCATCGGAGAAGCCGAATCTAAGTCGAGGCTCTTGGTGGAACGCGATGCGAAATCGCTCTCGGTGCTGTAACTCTGTGGAGAAAATACAAGCGGTTGGTTCGGTCTCGCAGTCTTCGACGCCACCCCGATCGGTCAGGAATTGATCGGAGAACCGCTGCGTCTTTCAGGTCGATAAACGAAAGCCATACACACCGAGAAGAATGAATGACGTGGGTGATCCTTGTATGTCGGACGCTTCGAGTTACCGAAGAATATATCGGACGATGTAGCCAAGGGTGCATTGCCGAAACCCTAGAATTCAAAACACACATATCTCTATTCGAGGGTCCCCGCCGTTTGGATGATTCGATTCTACCGGACTTGAGAGCTAAGTGTGCAAGCGGAATAAGCTTCCGTGGATCGGCGTGATCGGAAAGAAGTTTGGGAGATTCTCCTCTCGCCTGTACGCACTTGTTTAGCACCTACGAAAGAATCGAAAGAACTGCCATTGCTGGCGCAAGAACGCATGTCACTGAGGGTATTGGATGACGACGGGAGGTCCTTCAGACAGTCCCGGAGAATATCGTCCTGCGAAAATTCAGTTCGATCAGTCTCGAATAGAAATTCATTAATTAGCTCCGGGAGCGTTGTTGTTTCGCTGCGTCTCGGAAACTCACGTCGAACAATGGGTGGCTCGTCTTCCCGAAGGAGCAAGCTTGATCTTGGCCAGTCGAAGAGCTTGAAGTTCCGAGCAGCGAGTGTGTCCGGACTGACGGAGCGCGGAAGCTCGAGTACCCCTGGAACGAAGGATGAATCGAATTGAGAGTCCGGCAACCAGATTCGATTCAGTTCGGAGGCCCCTGATTTCGAACATGGATCACCGGACGGTCTTTGAATTGCACTCACACTAGCAGCACCGTTCAGAGCAAACGAATCCCGACCCGCGCATCCAGAGTTTGAAGACCGACCGGACGCCAAACGCACGGAATCCATCGATTCCTCCTGAAAGATTCCGTCCGGCTCGATTTCGATCCGTTTGAGGTTTGAGTTAGCATTCGCGACGTTTCTCGATACGGATAGTTCCCGGATACTCACCAAAGCGCTCAAGAAGGAGCTCGGCAACGGCTCATTGGAAGCTTCTTTCCAGTAAGAATTCGGGAGGCTCGACGAGTCGACTTGGCTACTCGTTTGACGCGTCGGTTTGATCGGCGTAGAGGTCATCGAGGAGGTTGCTTCTATGAAAACATCAAAAAATTCGACACTGAACCTAATACACGGGGAAAACGTCTCCAGCCTTTATCTAACTATCGTCATCCAAATTCATTCGAAAACATGCTAGAGGAAACAAGGGACATGTAAAACGTTACTGTCGTCATATTGAGATGTAAGATAGTTGCCGATTGAGTCGCTCGAGCGGGTCATGTCGGAAAACGGTGAGAACCCGAGCTTCCGTAACAGGTCGATGATCTCGCGATCACTCGAGCTCAGGGAGGGACCGGACTGAGCGGGCAGTGTCTCGTAGCGGGCTATACAAGTACAAACGAAGAACGTCACACCGGACGAGAGACGGATGGAAACCCCAGACGCATGGGCGTCCAAGGCGACACGTCCACAAAATAGTTTACAATCACAGAATACACAATCTTCGAGTAGGAATGATCGCTTGTCCCACGTACCGTCTTGGGACCAGTTCAAGGCGGAAGATCGTTGGCGCAAGGCGGCCGTATTCGGAGGCGCAGCCCAAGCGTTCGTCAAGTCCGCGGCACCAGGTCGGAAGCAGCGATCCACATCCGAACCGATGAGTGCGGAGCCGATGCGATTGGATGGTCGGAAGCTGTATCTCGAGTACCTGGTTGAATAAGCAAACGATCCAGACCATGATTTTGGTTTGAGGACTTAATTGGCGTTTAGCTCCCAGAAAGCTTCCAGCATTCGGCAGTTCGAACATGGGGACAACAAGGGGACAAGGAGCTTGAAACACATCAAGTGCCATCGATGTGAGACCACGGGAAATCTGGGGGACGCCCGAAGAACCCGCGACACCGCTCTTCTGGAGATCCAGGTGGAGATTCGTACTCACCGAGCCGGCTCTGGAATTTCCTGAATGTACGATAGCACGTGGGCCACTGGGTCGTCCTTGTTGAGAGACTTGTGGATCTCGAACATGATATCGACATATTTCTCCGGACCTTTGATTACAAGCCACCACTGACGATTGATTTCCCGGATTTCCCGACTTTTTTGACGGGAAATCAACGTTATATCGTATGGCTCCAGGTGCTCGTTTAGGGTATGAGCAACTGAAAGCAAAAGCTCAGTGAGAAAAAATCAAAAGAACCAGTTTCCAACGTTCGATCACCCGAAGCGCTCATTTCGAAACGTACTGTCGTCGATTCTCGAGGCACCGCACGATGACGCGAAGGACAGGTCCTCGGTGAGCGGGAGCAGATTGTCATCGCCGACGCTCCAAGCGCCCTCGGTTGGCAGCGGAGGAAGGTCCGGGATGGGACTCGCGTCGGCAGGGATCTCGACCAGCAATGCCAACGGCAATAGATCCATGAATTTCACCCAAGCGTCGTAGACGTTCAGAACCTGGCCGACGATCCGGACCGTTGGGATCGACTGACGTCGATCGAGAATCTCGGGGATCTCGATGGTGGTGTTCGTCTCCCTCATCAATTCGAACAGTTTGATCCCTGAAGGTCCCGTCACGAAATCGAGATGATGAGGGGAGACCTCGATGCCTACGTAAACGGACAGCTGGGGATTGTCTGGTGCCAGGAACGCCATCAATTTGAGAATTCCGTCTTTGATGCGATCGATGTTGGCATGCCGTCCTCGAACTGTGACCAATGCAGCCGATGACTGGAGGCTGTGCATTGGTAGCATGGTTATGGTGATTCGATGCTCGTTTTGGAGAATCTGCGGACGTAGTCGGTCACGTAAGTCTCTCACCCAGCCCCAATCCGATCCATCCCTTCCACCGGGCTCTCGAGTCGAAGAAAATGAGTCCCTCGCGACACCTGTAGGATACAAGGCGACTCGACTTACGTTTATCATTTCTTGCACCCGAGGTCGAACTTCGAAAATCTGGGGGCCGACCTGCCACATGGCATCGTTGTGATGAGCGTCCGCGATCACGAACGCGAAAGAGATCGGCAGGAGCTTCCGAATTCGACGGCGAGCCTCCAGCACGCCCTCCGGTGGTCCGGAGATCGAGACCTGGTTGCTCTTCTCATACTGTTTGTTCTTGTTCGAATCGGGGAAATGTATGAGGCAGTTCGTTTCGTGCGAGACGTTCTGGATGCCGCGTCCGAAGCGTCCGATAATGAATGAGTGGTCGGAGAACGAGACGTCCATTTTGAGAGAGACGCGCTCGTCGTCGTGGCATTGCTGGAAAGTCGGACAACGATTAGAATTTCCATCCCTGACATGAGAGACATCCGCGGTAAGTCTCGCCGCAGCGGGACAGCTCCATCACAGGTTCGCTAATTATCGACGCAAAACGAGGAATCCGCCATCGATCGCGAAGGCGAGGGAGCACGTCATGAAGAACCTCTCAGGGGGCGCCCAGAACTCGAACAGAATTACGGCGGACCGATAGTCCTTCCATTCAACAGAGCACTCCGAGCTCGGAAGAGACGAGAGACTTTCGAACCTGTATCTGACACGGAATATAAACATAATAATCATGTCCGCCGACCTCTGCGACACTTCTCCCTGGGAATCGCCGAGTTCGAGACTATGTACCTTCAGACCCTTAACTATCAGGCACCGGCACGTTCGGCTAGAGAGGGGAGCTCCCGAGTGTTTAGAATATAAGACGCGATACGCTCGGAAGAGATCGACATTGCGGCAATGTCAGAATGGATTGGCAGCAACACGGGTCCGGTGCGAGAGATTATCGATGGGAGTTCCAGGACATCGCCGCGCCGAACCTCATTCCTTCTTTCTTCCTACAGCAGAGCTCCGCAACGTGAAGGGAAGAGAACCGGCGTTTCTTATTCCGACCAAGGGGAGTAGATGAGTCCGAATCCCTCTAACTACCATGCTTGACTATTTCTCCGACTGAAGAGATGCATATCTGCTTCACGAAATAGCGCGGAACTTCGTGAGTTATTTATCGCTCCAGAGCTGTGAAATTCCTTGGAAAATAAAATCAAATCCTTTCAGGAGATACCGAGATACAGAAATAACGCGCGTAGGTCATTCGAGTCGGAGTCCGACGGTGCCAAATTACGAAGCCCCGCTTTGACGTTCTCTCCAAGAACGCTGTGACGTAGCTCATTAGGCCTAATTCGATTCGAGACCAGAACACGTAGATGGATCCTTTTTTTGGTACAGCATGACCATGATCCGAATCGAGAACTTTCCAGAGGGGTCACGGGGTGAAGTCGAGACCAGTTTTCCGCGAGAACGTAAAACGAATCGAATACTCACATTTTTGAAAGTCCTTTCTAGCTCGTCTTTGGCTCGTTCAACTTGCGCAACCGAACCCGCGACTTGGAAGAAGTACTCTTTCCGAGCCTTCTGCTGGCCGAAGTGTTGGCCTGGAGATAACCGAGTCATCTCACGATCCACGGCCTTGATGAGGGCTCCAGTCGACATCTCTATCTCTTGCACGAAGTCCCGAGCAGGCGCAGAATCTACACGAAGATACACACGGTTCAACGGTATGGTTTAGCTTGATTGTCCGCTCTCCACTAGTTTTCTAGAGACTAGACGCTCCAGACGCATCGATCTGAGCGGAGAAACAGCGACGGCATTCTCACGAGAGCGATTCCGAGCCGAATATTTGTCACCGAACGCTGCCGTTGCTATTGTCGTAGAGAGAGACTTTTTTCCGTTACATACAAGCTGTCAGCGGCTGCGAGCCGACCGCCGCTCGACTCTTCTTCAGCGGTAACCCTAGATCCTTCTCGTGAAATTCAAAACTGCGATTTTTAAGGAAATCCCTCTCTAGCTGGCAGAGCTCAGCCAATTTCCGAGGGTTGACTTCTCCCAGACCGTCACCGAGCATTGCAGTAGAGAGCGGAACCCCTCGAGCCATCAGATGCTCTCGGAATCCGAGGATTCGACAGAATCGGAAATCCGCTGCTGGCGCTCACCACAAGGCTTAGAATCTTCGGGCACGATCCAGCACGGAAGCCGATGGACGGCGATTGCCTCGATCCGGGCACCGTGTTTGGAGAAGAAAAAGAGTCGCCGAAGCAGTTTGTAGGATCCCGTAACTTAAATCTCACCGTCTTGCAGTTGATCGAAGACCTTCTTGGACATGTTCACAAGCTGGACCACACACTGATTCTCGACTGCGGCAGGGGGAGCTCTGGCAACGATATTGAAATTTGCACAATGATTCGGGTTACTGCTGTTGATTTCCATCTCCCGGGCGGGTATTTCCATGGTTGTCAGTGTGACTTTGAAGTTCGGAAGCGGCCGCAATCAAAGCGCAGCAACCCCAAGCGACCTCAGGTCGTCGTCTCAATGGTCAGGGTATTCCGGAAATAATGGCGGACTTAAAATGTCTGTCGTATCGAAACCACATCATACACACACTCCCACCCGCTCTCAACCACTCAAACGCGCCACACATATAACGACGCGACGCAGCGGCTGACAGGCCTGATTTTGCATGGACGACGATGCCGCCGCCGCCGCCACCGCCGCCGGAGCGGAGGCGCATAATTACGAGCTGCGCATCAATCGGCCCCGAAAGAAATCTCCGGCCGCCGCACCGTTGAGAGTGCACGTTTGAACCGGACGACGTGTGCCGACGCTCTACCGATGGGTCGCGGCCTTCTGGCTACTGGAGATCTCCAAAGCGTAATCTGTGCATCCATCGCTAACTTTTTTTCGTTGTGAAAAAGCCTCATTATATTATCACCGGATGCGCATAAAATATGGCAAGCATGACTTTCTATCTTCCGCAGACACGACCTGCCACAAGAATGGAGAATCCTCTCGGAGAATTCGAATATCGACTCAGCCCACGAGCGGGGATACCTCCGCCTTCCGCGTCGAAACCTCTTAGCTGAAGACCGGCGAAAAAATGAATTCTGTTCGTCCGTCCCGAGAGCGGATGATGTCTTGGCTCGAGGACCTTCTAGGCAAGGATCGAGCTTTGCCGAGAGCTCACCGTACTCGGGGTGAGTACTTTTGGGGGAATGAGGCTTGGTGAAGTGAAATGCGGCGGCTCGATTCACTCCGATACATGCTCTTTTGGTGCCGGGCCCTGCAAGTGCAGAAGGAACTCCCCCAGATCATGTTTGTATATCCATCTGAGGACAGACCGACGATCTAAACTGTGCGAACTACAAGGATCTTTGGAACGTTCCGAGCAAGACGATACCCGGGACAGCTGAGACCTCCCCGCCCGAGGAGGGGAGGAATCGAAATTTTCGCATGGACCAGTTCCCTGGACGGAGCTCTGCCTACCTGAGATCGAAAGTTCAACGGAAGTCTCACATTCCCTATGCAATCGGAGGGTGAAGCCCCTCTATCGAGAGGGAATGTCGTCATCGAATGCTCACCTGTAGCAGTCGTTCATATGATGAGTGTCCTGAACGATGGCAGGTTCAGGACAGTTATTCAGTTTCCAGGCAGTTATTCGCGAACACGGAGGACTCTTGCGATTCGAGCATCATCGCGATCTGCGCGCGATACTTTCCATCTCTACGTACCCCGCGAGCAACTTACTTCAATCACGAACGATTGTTCTTTTGGCTGAGTCGGTAAAGCAATCATGCATGTGATTCATGATGAGAGAAACTTGATTCTGGATAGCTCCCGGAGAAGCTCATTCCAGTTCCCTCATTCACACTCGAGAGGCTTGATCCTGGAGAGCCGCCACGCCGTTGCTCGCGATACGGCGGGAAATCCTTGATCGTTGCGGCAAGGACCGGCTGGAGTTCTGCGAGAGGAGCCTCAGCTCCGGTCCGAAAACGAGTACTCTGATGTTTAAGATCGGTACCTTCAATGATATGCGGATGCAGACCCTTTGGAATATCTACCGAGGCTTCGAGATTCGGAACCCGAGTCGATGATCTCCTTGATTGGCAAATCAGCCCCCCGAGGAGGGGACCAGATCTCCACCCATCTGAGATCGGAATTGTTTCGACGAGAAATCTTTCTTGAATGATAGACGAAACAATTACGATTTACCCGAAATCCAATGTTGTATAGAGCTTGATTTACACGCATGGGAAGTTCCTTGACGCAGAAGATCAACATAGCGGCTTCCTGAGCTCGGGGCCCCTCCGAGAGCTCTGAGCCCAGGGAAAAAAGTCCTGGTAGTGACCTTCACGGGAGTGGAGGCGACCCAGTGGATTCGATTCGATCCCTCGCAGCTAGGAAGCCCTGAGTGAGGCTTGACGGATATGTTCTCGCATCGGTGAAATTCGGGAATCATGGGTCTATGACGAAGACGGATCTATGATTGATGAGTGATTGTTGATGAGAGACCGCCATGCGGAAATGGAGAGATACGGGGAAATGGAGAAGCTCCAAGACTGGACTCGGGGCTTAGGGAGCAGCTGAAGTGTTATCACCGATCGGGGAACGGTGGTGCGTGCAGGAAATCATGAAGATGCTGATGGGGGACAGGTAATAAAAGAAGAGAAGAATGGCGAAATCGCTGGAGCCGAGAGACTCCTGGGATAGCCGGGAAGATGTATGAGTCGCAGAGGAAGAAAACAACAATGCTTCGAGTGAAGGCCGACCGCGTCACACGAAAGATGACTCAATCAGAGTCCCGTTCAATCACTACCAGGGATCAGGATACCAGGTTGAGAAGACGCCATCTCCCCACACAATAGTCGGTGCCCTGGAGGAAGAGCACGAGGTTTCGTCTCACTTCATAGCAGGCTGAAAGAGCGTGAATCTGTGGAAATTATGGTATTTTCCTGTGATATTCATGGACATGTCACGCGTCGTCGGGTGTCAAGTGCACGTGACAAGTTTCAAGGCAAGGTTAGCCCTTACGTGACGCGCCTGCTGAGCTGCCGCTGACGAAGGCTCAGCCATCATCTCGACTCCGGTCTGTAGGCTCAAGTTCCGTGGTATTGCCGGCATCGGAAGATATGCGATCAGCCTGCCCGGCAGAATCCTGAAATTACGACATCCTCATGTGATATCTCTCATGCCTGGCTTCCGTGAAGCGCATCCAATGGGCCGGAATAGACCGTTCCCCCGTAGTCAGGGCAAAACTCAGACTTTCGCCCAGAGATAATAAGGGGAATCATCATAGGAAGAGATAATAAAATGAAAATTAAGATGCGCCGACGCCGCATTGAGCTGCGAGGAAGACAAACACGACAATATTGGAGTAGGGCTATAGCTCGGGGCACCGTGGGAAGAACCTCGTTCCCAAAAGCGCAGTCGAGCTTCTCGATTATCCTATACCGAGAGACATCTAGAGCGAGCGGGTAAATTTCCCGGGAGCGAGCCTCCCGGGGGTCATTTCAGTGATTCCTCGCTGCGCAAAGACTCCCATCCCCCGATGACCGAAGTCGATCGCGGAACGGGAACATCCGTTGGAAATCGTCAGACGGCCTACAAGTTCAACCTTCGTCTCGAGGCTTCGACGATCCATCCGCCTCATTCTTCGACAAATGGTCTCAACCCTTGTCTTGCGTAGTTGTCTTCCCTCCGAGTCTTCCCTCACTGTTTGAGCATACTACAGGATTTCAGCTGAATTATTGACCTCGACTCACTGCAGTTGGATTTAGCTCCGATGATTCAATGAAGGATCAGCGTCAGATTCATACACGCCATTTCTCAGACCCATCGTTCGTCGAGGAAGACTCCCATGCCTCGTGAAACACTGCAGAAGCTTGGCGATCGGGTTTTCCGGAAATTGTTCTGCGAAATGAGCTCTGCTGATCTCGTCCAGTTGCGAGGATAAGCGGCTTCCGCTCGTTTCGAATCAAGGCTTCGTGGACTGGCTCATGACGCTCAGATCATTGGAACCACTACCCTGGGGCAGAACGCGGTATTCCAGACTCGGGAACACGTGTTCTGGAGGAGATACTCCGCAAAACTTTCCAGAACCGCGTATCGGTCTTGTGCCGATGACGTCTCTCGTTCCTGCCAAACCGCGACTCCGGGTAGACTCGCGATCCTGCAGGTCATTGATGCGTGGCCAGATGTTCTTGCGTTCGGGCCTTGTTGAACGTCGTCGGGTCATTATAACCATGATACCTGTTCTCGGCCTAACAATACTGACGATCGGAAGCTAAACGTGAATCATTCCCCAGGAATACGCAGAAGCCGCCCGACCGTAACCAAACCCGATATTGAGAGCCTTGTCCTGTGGTCAACCCGTAACTTCGAGTACTGAACGTGAGCCAACGTTGAAAGAAAATTAGTCGCACGAGCCTCAAGCTGGCTGATGCAGGGAAGCCGCGCCATGGCAGTGAGAAGCAGGGAGGAATTCCTTTCTTAAGCCGGGCATCCGGGGCAATTTGCTTGAATTATGTCGGCGAATTTCTTTCTCTATCATCTGGGTGGAGAGGAACTAGAATCCCCCGAGCTCGACTAGGAGACTGGATGAAAACGAGACGATTCCAACCATCTTAATGGAATGGTTGAAGGCGGAAGAGCAAGTTCAAGAGTCGTGGGAAACCCTTGCAGGCGCGTCCAACTACGAGCGGGTCATCATATCCCTCCGTGATACCTGAATCCCGGTCCTCGAATGCTCCACGAGCATCGCGTGGATTTCTGGACACCAGAGCGACATGACATCAACCTGGAGCAAGCTCCTCCTTATGATTGATCATCATAGGAGCGGCAAAGGACTGTTCGATAAATGTAACCCCCTGGTGAGAGACCGTCATAGGAACTTCTGACCGGGGATAGTCCGTCAGTTGAGAACGATCGGTAACGGTAACCCTCATGCTGCTTCGCCAAGAGCCGCGAGGGAACGAACGGGATGTCAGTGGAGGTCGAGCTATATCATAGATCTCGCTGATCTGATGTGATCTGATCCTCATTATGGACCCTTTGGATATGGGTTGATAGCATCCAATTTGAGGTCATGGTCCGACAGAACACAGAGCTTCCATTTGAGACGGCTCGCAAGTTCTTAATTTCCTTCGAGCTTGTTTCCATCGAGCACAAGTTCCGGTGACCTTCGGATTTCTGGACGTCAGAGGTAGAGGTTTGGGATTAGAGATTTGAGAATCTGCATCGGAGACTTACTCTTGAACAAATACGCGAAACTGAATGTCGTGATCAAATAAATCTGATGGCGCAATGTTCGTGACGTGAATTCCGCAAGCAGTCGGTCCTCAATCCGATACGAACACGTAAGGATAGAGAGCATCTCTCGATGCTGCGAGCGGATTTCTCGGATACAGAAAATAAACAAAATACCCTCGCGGAAGTAGTTTCGCGGCTACAGGTTCCCGGAGCTCGCCCCGCCTACTCGAAAATACCCGTCCTCATCTAGAGTTCGAGGTTTCTTTATCGAAAGATCCCTTCACGGAGTCGCGACTCTCGCGAAACTTCTCTCCCTAGCTCCATTCCGCCATGGGAATGCCGAATCTCGACTACCTGACAGTGTATGAGCAATGCCGTCGCCGCTGCAGCGCGATAAAAGCTCGCTCATAGTCATCATTGCCAGTAGTCGGCCCCTCTCCCCCGTTGTGCTCTTGCACTTACATAGGCGAATAGCGAGCGCGACTCCCTGTAACTCTGTGGCTGTCTCTGGAAGTTCCCTGGAAACGCGCGCCGCTTCAGCATCAACCGAAGCGACAGAAGGGCGTCGCGCACAGTTGCAGCGCAGTGCGTAGAGTGCGACGGGCCAAAATGAAGTTGGTGTGGACTCTCCTGGTGGGATCAGTTCTCTATTCAGAGGTAGGAAATAGGAATGGCACTTACTTATCCGTACTTATCCGTAGTTCAAGGGGGCTGCGTCGCTTTTTCCGTCTCGCGGTTAGAATTCCGGTCGAGGTACTTTATTATGAGATAAGAATCAACCGCGGGTCTGTCTCGCGGTGACTCCCCACTCGGTCAAGTATCCGGATACAGTTCTCCGGAAGAGACTGTGAGGCGCAGCAGAGAGCCGCTCGAGCTCGTCCGACGATGGTTCCTCCGTGAAGCGTGAGGACCAGAGCGTTTACGTATCCGGTGAGCCCGGTGATTTGGTATCCGCCATTCGTAGAATTCCGGAGAGCCGTTCTAGACTGTCCGTATGCCGTCGAATTCGAATTCTGCCATAATGGCTTCTGAAGTCCCTCGGGACGATGCTCTTGTAGACATCCTCGGACATGATAATGACGGGTGCACCGGATGGAAATGAGTCGTTCGAAGACGCAAATCTTTTGCACAGCCTTTGAGTTTCTGACGCATGATACTTCCCGATAGGGAATGAGAGGAGTTCAAGTGGCCTTCTCAATAATGCATAGCGTGGCCAGTCGATGGTCTCATCAGAGTGAAGGATCACGCACGCTGCCCACTCGCCTTGACGTTCTGCTGCGCTTCCGTACTGGCGCTTCTCTGAACGTTGTGAGCGATGAAAAACTCTGATTGAAACTCCCGAGGATCAGCTCCGCTCCTGGAACACGTCCACTACCGGTCAGGGAAGGCGATGCACTTCATCACCTCTCCGACCAAAGCGCAACGTCATCGATCCGAAGCTGTGACACGATTCTCTTTGCGTCGGGCAGCTGTTCCACGCCTGCCTTAACCCGTTGGTCCAGGTTCCTTGAACTCTGTCTTCTGGAGTTCCGAAATTGCTTCGTTAGCGATACCGTACGCGCTGATGTGACCCTGATCGAGTATTCAACCTGAACCGGCGCCATTGCCGAAGGCTCCGGAATTCTTCAGGCGAGGAGATATTCGATCGCCGTATCTGGGCCGATTAATTGAAATCTGTCAAACCTATTGTTCGGCAGACAAGTCGCGGGCGATGAGTAAATAAGAGACAATCGTCGACTCGATCCGCGAGAACCGATGAGTCCCATCCACACGATTCGCAATTCGTTCACTACTGCCGTATTCTTCTAGACCGTTATTCAAAGAGATCGATGAGCGTTAGGACAAGAGGAAACATTGCGGAAATTCGCCTCGGAGACAGTCTAAACTGTCGTTAGGAGAGTGATCCGACCTCTGTCGCAATGGTCTCCGAGCTCTTTAGAAAACGTTGACTCGGCCAGGTGAACACACAGAGTGCAAGAAAACACTGGACCACACAATCGAACTCTGGAAGCCTGGTCTGGAGAGCGGGGAATCGCAGTCCCCTCTACGCGTTAATGAGAACCACCCATTGACGAAATTTCTGTTTGTAAAAGAGTCGACGAATTGGAATGCACCCATCCCAATTCCTACCCCGAGCACTCCTCCGGCGACTCGTGCAACCAGCACGAGCCTTGCGGGCTCGAGGCTTTTCGGAAAGAGGAAAATGCAATCGAACGGCTGGATTTCTCAATCCCATTGGCTTGGAGAACCCTGGCGCTGAGCGTTGACATACTCTGAGTGGTCACAAAAATATATTGCCCTCATCGCCGTGACTAAAGCCGGACAATTACCACAGCGCGGTGTCCACCACAAATATTTGCGCTTCGATCGTCATCAGTCGGATCACGATAGGCATTTGTGGCGGCCCCCATCGAACCTGGGATCGAGCATCGAGTCAAAATGGATAGAATCCCCGATTCGCCAGCAGAGAGACGAAGTCCTTGCTCTGTTTTGGCATCATGTCCTTGAACGAAGGCACATTTGGTCGAGCATGAGCATCGACCTTACGTTACCAATAATTTAACTATACTTACGGCCACTTTCGCTTGATGATCGCGAGCTGTGGCCGTGCCGAGGAAAATATAGCACCTGAGACTTATCATAAGATTTGTCCTCGGATGAGTAACGCATCCCCATATCTCGCGGTCGGAAAGAAGCACGATGCGAGCCAGGGATCGCCGAGAGTCGTTGAGGGGGCGGAAAAGCGCGGTGAGCGGACGCTCCTGGGAGCTCAGACGGATTTTCCCTTTCATTCCTCGAGTTTAATCATCAGAGCTCTGAAAGAGCTCGCATCAATCGTCAGACAATCAATGGTACTTGGATATCCTACGAGGACTGGGAGGCTGTCTGACGGTGGATGTTTGCTTCGGTCGATCGAATAAGTGCGCATTCAGCGCCGCAAAATCGGCAACGTGTCGTAATTGCCCCTAACACTGCGACGAGCGGTGAATCGCGAGAGAGCCAGCCAGCCAGTCAGTCATCTAGTTCATTGGTCCCGATCGCATTGACTCGGTTTTCCGGTAAAGGCTCTTTCCTAGGCGACGCGGCGCGTTGCCTTACCGAGGACCGATCCGGTGGTCTGCGAAGCGTGTCTGCGAATGACTGGTTCTGAATTCAGCTCTTCTGACCAATTACGCAATATAAACGAGCTCGTATTAATTTTGTCAGGTAGGTTCTCGGCCTATGGAACAAGCGCTTCTTGGAACGAGTAGTGGTCGACGATTCTTTTTTTATCGAGGCTAGCATAGCGGAAAGCTCGTCAACAATAGGTCGCGACACGGACGTCGCGACATGAGAGTCGGCGGTTAGCCGGTAAATCAATGACGGATACACATGCAAGAGCAATAATTCCAGTCTACCTCTTGTTATTGCAACCGGAACCGAAAGCCCATGTTGTAAGACGAAATATGGAAGTGCTCGACTTGGGATACATGTTGTTGCTGTTCGGGAGCGATCACGAACTTTGGCTCGATGTGACTCTGTGGGGCACCGCGGCTTCCCGATTCTGAACGGCTACTCGTACGCACGGAATCGACTGATTTCCCGATTTTTCAAAAATCGGCATGAATACGACATCGCATTTAGGCTTAAGGTCGCGGTATTCGTGAGACGTGTAGAGTTTGTCGCATGGTTTCTGCCAGATTAACTTGCCCATTTATGCAACAATGCGATGAGAAGGTGGTCCTGTCACAGTCGGACGCATCTCTCATTGAAGTTGACGTGACGTGCGTTTTTCCTCTGAATGCTGGAGCTTCCGCGGCAGATGACGAGGTCGTTCGAACATTCGAAACTAGACGGGAATTCGGGAAACATCATCAGAAAACGCGATGAGCATTGTTGTCATCGAAATTTGATCAATGTCATCGAGTGAAAGTCATCTTCTCTTCTGTAATCCTCGCTATCCATATTTTTTCCTGATCCACACATTGATCACCACCAAGCGATCGCCTCGTTGTGATATGAATTTCCGGGAATTTCCGAACTGCGGTTTTGAACCCCAGTGAGGTCGTTCGATGAGCGTAAAGGAGAATTCGTCAACAGCCGAATCGAGAAGCAGTTGGGGAACCCCGATGTTCCCGGGAATATCAACCTCGTTTCCAGAGGATATTTTCTACAAAAGTTCCACGCGGCTTTCCACCGCACTCACGTATCGAGAACACTAGTTGTCGACGCGAGAATGAACATCAGGCGCGACGCGAGATTTCTGTGTTAGGCCGGTCAGACTCTTGTAGGGACGGTCCCGCGTTTTGTTGTGGCGAGAACAATGAGCTCTTACTAAATAGAGTCAGTGGATGCTACACGCCGGAATACACACACCCGCACAAAACGCGCTGAGTGTTGGCACCTTCCCAGCTACCTCCGTTCCGAAGAATGTTCCACCAAATCTGCATTCGTATAGCCTCCCATAAGGAAAACGTTCAATCGGATTCCGGAAAAAAATCTGTGCCTTTGGATGTTGGGTTGCGTCAAGCCGTCCTTGATTGCTGGGGATTCGGCTGAGCACAGGGGCCGGAGAGTTTGCTCGAGACGAGCCGTCCGCCGATGGGGAGTCGGAGGAAGCAATGCGCTGGGAACGATTGGAAAAAAACTCCGAACTTTCCGGAGGTGGACCCCGACCGGAGAGAAAGCTGAGAGGGATCAGCGTGCCGATGCGCTTCGAATTCCAAAATGATGACAGAATCCGCCCGGCAATGCCCTGAAAACAACATAACAAGTCAATTACGTAAGGGAGTTCACGGGCGGTTCGTCACCGCGCGCAAGGCCATTTACAGAAAATTCACTGACCGGATGACGGAACTGGCTCAAGTGCGTCGCTTAACGCGCTACATCAGATAAGCTGGAGTCCGATTGTCACCGAAGAGTTGAGTGCAATTGAGATGCTAAAATATCCGCGCCCGCAGGGAAGCGATGCAACACGGAACCTTTTCCATGCGGAGTGCAGAAGGTGTCAGTCTCAGGGTCGGATTGCAGCTGGTGCGGAATGAAAGCAAAAAAATACATCGTCCAGGAACTAATTCACTCAGTCGCTTGGAAGCAGAAGATACCCCGATTGAATGTATGAAAGGCACGGCATCTCCGCTCGTCCCGACCCATGTGGCGATGAAGTTCAGCGTGAACCCCCGCCCGGAAATCGAACGATTTTTTCGAACTCGATTTTCTCGAGTACTGCTGAGGCTCCGCTTCCGGAATTACAAAGAGCTCGAGGACGATCGAGGACACTTGATACGAAAGCCTTGGTCTGCACATTGTATGCGCAACTCCATGACACGCTCCCAGTGAGCGAATGGACTCTTGGGCGGAATCGCCAAGCTTTCATTTAGCGCAGAAATAAGCGGATATATTTTCTGAGAGCCTCTCGAATCATCAGAAGATCCTCTGGCTGGATATGCTTTGATGCCCGATACTTCTCGGGTTCGGAAATTGAATCGTGGGCCTGTGGAGAGAAACACCTCCGTTGCTAAAGTTCATCCGCGTTTTCAATGCTGAATCGCACTCATTCGCGGAGAGACATTCGAACCCGGCTCATGGTCACATTCAAGAGGCTCGGAAAGTCTGAGAATCGTTTTCCATCGAGTCATAACAGAGATGAATACTCCCCGAACGGTTTCGAGCTCCTTCGCGATACTCACGTGGTATCGAAAGGAAGGAACGGTCTCACCAATCTTCGGTCACTCCCTCGTTGCTATATATTCGGAATATCGAAGTCACGGATCTCTACCGCAAAGAACCACCCAACGAGTTTCATTCCGAAGAATAATAATTATTCAATGTTATAATGTTATTATTCGATTGTTATGCATCGTCAGGTGATCAACGACAGGCATGGGTAGGTAGTACGAGAAGGGTCGCCGCGCTGTCTGGGCGTTCGTCCCGCGGACCAGACGCCGAACATTCGGATTGCACTCCACCGACCACCGGAGGGCGATGTCCGGGGGTGTCTTTCGAAGGGAGAAGTCACGCACGAACACTGAAAGCATCTACCTCGTCCAACTCTCCCGTATCTCCGAGAGCGGGAAACACTGCATTAACAGCAGTCCTTGTTTGCAGAGTTATTGTGTGATATCAGGAAAAGGTCGAACGAGCGGAAATTATATTGAACAGGAAGCACAAATTAGGCTCCACAATGTTCATTCGACCGATGACAGCAGCAGCTCGGCGGCGAACAAAACAGAATCCGATCAAAGGTGGCTGAGTTGGACGATTCCCCATATTAAGTCATACAGCTGAGCGATCAGCCGTGACAATCGATGTCTTAACTTGGATCATTCCCCGAATCGGAACGCGGGACAGCAAGAGATACCCCAGTTTTGATAATTGTATTTTCTCCCTCCAGCAGGATCATGGTGATACGTGTGTCTTCGAATTTGACATTCTATATCAGATTGCAACCGCAGACTGACACAACGTTGCATTCGCGCCTCGAGCAAGTGCGCGTCGTCCATGACAACTACACCGAGCAGCAGGAACTCCACGACGTTCAGAGTTGTCAATTCGTGGGCAACGTGATCGCTCCCGTAAGAGGGGTCGCCTCAGTCAACACCTGTCCAAACACCCCAGACGCCGTAAGGAAATATCTGCGGAAAACTCATTTGCCTTAATGTCGATGGGAGCATACGCCTCCGACTGCGTGCTATTTCCTAAAAGACCACGCGCATTGCGTCTCCCGGGTCGTTCCCTGCTAATGCTCAAATTTGATTCTGCTTCAGTACGCGATTCTGATAACCGAGGGCGGAATTTTCTATCTAAGACCGCGCATGATAGAGTGGCAGGATGACAAAGACAAGCCCCATGTTTTCACGCGGGTGGAGTCGAATGAGGACGACCAGTTCTGCGGCCTTCGGAATTTCAAAGGTGATCTCAACTCATCACAAAATTGACTTATGGACCCCAATCCAGGAAATTCCGATTCGAAGGATCTTGTCGAACCCCCGCTCCCCTCCCAGTGAGGACTGAGCGAGGCGTCGACCTACCAAGTTTCTAGCTGCTCCGAAATTCAGCGAATATCACAATCGTTTCAGACGAGGTGCCCTTGGACGACATTGGGCGAGTAGCCCCGACGACAACCGACGGTTTCTTGGAAAATCTCACCGAGAGCTCCGACTTCGAACTCCCTCTGGACAACGACGGCGATCATGTTATTGCAAAGCTCCGTCGGAAGAGGGCCGCCCCAGGATCCACGATGTACATTGAGACCGCGATATTCGTGGACAGACACATGTTCGATTCTATCGAGAAATCGAAGCCCCCGAATACGGTGACGGCGATCGTCAATATCGTCATGGCTATCCTGCACCAGGTTCAGCTCATTTATCATTACCACTCGATGACCGCTTTCGACTTCAAATTAGTCGTGGTCAAATTCGAGATTTTGAAAAACACGAAGGTCAGTGGGTGTAGGGTTGAATCGGAGCTCTGACTCCTTCTTCACTTGAAATATGCGAACCATCCGATCTTTACAGGAATAAGGTAGCTTTAAGTTGACGCATTTTTTCTCCAGACGTCACCGGATACCGGGGGTGGTAACATCGACCGATACCTCGATAGTTTTTGCGGCTGGCAGTGCAAACGGTTGCCGGCCCATGGGAATAAGGACCACTGGGATCACGCGATCATGTTGACTGGTCTAGACATGTTCAAAATGTCTGGATCCGTCAAAAACGATAAAGTGCTGGGTAGGTCGTCGCATCGCGAATTTTCGCAGCCCCGCGGATGTGACGGGCTAAACCAATACCGCTCCGCACAAATTTCGAACTAGGAACTTCTCTCCAGGATTGGCTTGGGTAAACGGGATGTGCCGTTGCGATTACAGCTGTACAATAAACGAAGGGAACTCTGCCGAGGCCGCGTTCGTCATCGCCCACGAAATGGGCCACAGGTAGGTTTGCGAACCTATCTGGCGAACCGATGATGTATTAATTAGGTAGTCGAATGTTCGACTATTAGGCGACAATGCAGTGCATGGGAGGCACCTCAAAGGGTGATTGAGTCGAAATCTCTCTTCGCAGTCTGGGTATGCAGCACGACGGATCCGGAAATCACTGCGACTCGAACAAATTCATCATGTCCGACCGGACAGGAGCCGGTAAAGTGAATTGGTCCAAGTGCAGCAACGACTATGTCAAGGCGGCAGAGAGGTGAGTATCATCTATTCCGTGCGGCTTGTTTTCTGTGAGAAATCGTTCGAGGAAGTTGAACCGCTCGGAATCTGATTCACGAAGCATTGCGATCGTCTCAGAGGAAAAATTATCTTCTGCAGGAAAGGACAGTTCAAGTGCCTGACAAACACAGCGCGAGCCGCTTCGAGCCTGGTCGACATTGAAAAACTTCCGATGTTGCCTGGGGAAGAATATTCGGCGACCAAGCAATGCCAGATGGCTCTCAGCCCTAAACACAAACCTTATATGTCCGCCAAAAGTCCCTTCAACGTAAGCGTTTGGATAGTGACGACCCGGAAAAGTTTTTCTTTCGATCCAATAGCTCAACGTGCTCAGAACATTCCTATCGCGATGGAATGCATTTCCAAATTCCTCGTTCACAGGACATCTGTCGCGAACTCTGGTGTCTCGAGGGACAGTGGGCAACCCCGGCCCATCCGGCGCTGGACGGAACTGAATGCTCACAGGGGAAGTGGTGCCGAGAAGGTAGTTGTGTGTTGAAGAGCTCATCTAGTAAGTACAAGACCCACCCCCCTCCCGAACCCGAGGGGAAGGCGTCAACACAGTCCGCTCCGCAGACAACAGCTCGGAAGGTCGCACCAGGCAGAGGTGGAGGCCAGCGGAGGCGATGGGCTTTCAAAAATCTCTACGGACGTTTCTCCGGCATTTACGGTTGAGCACCTGTTCCTACAGCATAAGTCCCGGCATTGTGTCGTCGTTCCTCCCTGTCGAAGTTCCGCAGCCATGCGCAAAGGGTCTGGCATGACTACGTATTGCACAACTCCCCGGACGCTCCCATGGGCATGGCCAGAGCGTCGGCAGTACGCAAATGCACCAGAGGCTCACCCAATTCAAGCTGTCAGCTGTACCAACGCAACGCCGCACTCGAACGCCCCTATCCCGGCGACCGATGTGCATAAAGATCTCGTTCGTTTCCAGGTACAAAAGCTACCGGCAGAAAAGTCAATGTGGGTTGAATAAAAGATCTGTTCAAGTGAACAAACACTCTGTAAATAATATGAGCGAAACTCCCTGAAAGTGCGACTCCGAATCGGGTCTCATCGTTACTAAACGGAATTGTTGTAATTGAATACTGAAACGGATCAGGCCGAGAGAATAGATGAACTAAGAGTAGGTTTGGAAAGTTAGAGCCCCGTGAGCGAGAGTTGAGACTTCGAGGAGTTGTTGAGTTCATATGTGTATCCTTTGTGAGCTTTAATAAAGACTCCGTTTTGTTACTAGACAAACAGTCTCCGGATTCAGGCGAAACAATTCGCAGACGAAGCTCAATCCGATTCGACATTACAGATGTCCAGATCAAAGAAGTCGAGGAGCAGACGGAAACCACCACGGTAGGGCTGAGAATGTGAGCTCATACTATCGAGGCCGATCATTTTCCCGGATGTGGGGGTGGGAAGATTCGGCGTCATCTTGCTACGCCCGTCTCGTCGGAAAGCCTGTCCGTGAGCTTCAAATAAGTATCTCCGAGCTGACGTCCTATCCTTCGAAGCCATGGGGTACTCGGTGCAAAGCTGGAATACATCCTCACAGGGGTCCTCTGCCTTCTCCCCATTCCTGACGCATTCTTACACACTGGTCTCCGGAAGGAAGATCGAGGATCGGACACTCATAGGGAGATTGTCTCTAGAGTCTTGATTTAAAATACCACCCTACCTGAATCACTACTTGATAGAGAAACTCAGTTGCCCGCAGAGAATTAACGGTGGGCCTCGGTCTGGAAGCCTCCCGGGTGCTATCTAATGAGCTACAACATGTGGCTGGTTGAATCTGTCCTCAAGGCCTCGAATATGCAAAGATACACAGTCGGACGTAAGAGCTCTGCGGGCCGGAGGAAAATCGGTCACTGTGTGGCGCTCTTGGCTCTGCACGCATGCGGTACGAGAAAGAGGTGGAAACCAGAACTCCTAGTTTTCTGAATAATTAATTTGTGTGAGTTCCCACCCCGGTGAATCAAGCTGAAAAGGCTTTCGAAACCCGAGTCACCCGCTGCTCTCAGACAGTGCTCAGCGGATCGATTCTCCGACGGCCGGTGACGTCAATGAGAGGACTGCGGACACGTAGGACCGATAACGTAGGCAAGGGAGCCTTCTTCCGAAAACAATGCGTTCTGCTGACTTCGAGAACCCACTTCCTCTACTCCGTCACCTCGGGGGGAAGGGGGTCTGGCACGAAGAAAAACGTATCCTTTCCATTTGTTCTAGGAGAAATTCGAGCATTCCGAAAATTCACACGCATTTTTATTGAGGCTCTGGAAGCAGAGAGAGGGAATCTATCTAGTGGGCTGTAGTACCATTGGCCGGAGTTCTGTGGTTGTTTGTGAAGAATGTTGAAATCACCCGGTGATCACAGGACGTGTGAATGTTGTTCTGCTGAGTAACTCCTTCAGGGAGAACGTCTCCTGTGAGATGTAGAATGACCAAGGGAGCTTTCGTTGACGGCGCGAAACCTTCCCCCAGTAGCGCCTCGAAATTTGCTCCTATCTTATCTTTTTCCGAGCGACAGCTCCTGACCAGATGGTGCTGAAATTATCGGACGAGATATCGTGTTAGCGTCGGCCGCGCTGAAGCTGTTCGGACGAGCCCTCTGAGGTTGATAGAAACGAAATCTCACGAACGACGATAGCGTACCCCTTGTTCTGTTAATAGTCTCAAGCACTTAAATGCCTTGTCTTCGCAGTCCTTCCCATTGAAGATCAACACCCTGTCGTGGCTGTTCGGCTAGAATACACAAGAGGAAATCGCGTGATTTAAAGAAAGAACGCCGAGCATTCGGACCAGCATGGATGTTAGATTATTCGAATATTCGATCAGGGAGTTCGATTTCAGGATCGGAAGGAATATGTTCATTCGAAAGAGGAGAGAGCATAAATCAAGATTTGGACAAGGCTGTGGGGAAGTGCAGATGGGCAAGACAGCCTTGAAGGACATCCAAGTGATTCGTGAGGTTCGGACCGCCACGAGAGCGCCCGGTCGTCCGAGGGTATCGCATTTAGTGAGGGTGTGAGAGTGTGGGGCCTTACAGTGCACTTTCGCGTACCGTGGACTCTTGGTACGGCGCTGGATTCAGCGTCCTCTGTGATCTCCAAACCCTCGAGTTCGTCCGATTCGATGTCGCTGAACACCTTCGTCTAAACGGCATCACGCTCAATTAGATTATCTCGTGGATATAACAGTCGGCAGAGCGGAACAGTTCCCTCGGCGACAGTGCGGCGGAGAAACTACCTAAGTCGTTCTATTTATGCTCCAATCGACGCGGTCACGCAGAGTTTACTCACGTATCCCTTGCTGTAGGTCCAGTTGTGCACGACCTGACTTGGAGTGAAATCGTAAACCTCATACCAAAAGTTATTGAATGGATTTAGTTGAGCTTCGGCAATTTGTTCTGGAAAATAAATGAATGTCCTCATTTCACAGATTCCCCTCCACAGGCTCCCCTCAAAACGCTCTCCACCGCTTCGATCCGAAGGACTTGTAATCAAGAGGATGAGCCGCTGTTTGCTGTTCTCGTGAGAATACGTGCGCCCAGCGCGGTAGGTAGGCTCTGAGAGGTCACGAATGAATAATTCCACTTGAAACCCTCATTGCGCTCTGCTCGGCTGCAGCACTCGACCGAATTGCTCATAGGCCGATGTCTTCCCGCGGTATCGTCTCGTTCATCTATCAAGGGGATGATTACGTGACGGAAATCCGGAGGAGACCCGATGATCGAGTCCCTGTTTCTGCTCACTCACCTTTGAGACCTTTGTAGTTCAGTTGGATGCAGGAAAACTTGAGTCCCGAGCAAAACTCTATTGACGGCTGCGTACTGCACAGGAGCGACACACGCAGTTTGAGACAGTCTCGGGCTCTGAACTGCTGGCATAAAGCTACCAGCCGACAATTCTCCGAATTCCGAATGAACACCGAGCCGCGGGTCGGCCCGAGTACGATCTGACAGTTTTTGCAATCGTCTATCGTGACGACATTCATGTGATCCAGGAGTAGAATTCTACAGTCCTGCAATCGGGGCATCGCCATGAAGTTTCAGGAGTCCGAAGCTCCCGCGTGCGCTCGACTGCGGTCATCCACCCGATCGTGTTCGAGAGAGTTTGCGCTACAACATTGGTTCTAATTCCGCGAGCAATCCTACCTGGCAGTCCTGCACAATAAACTGCTGGCCATTAATGCTTCCGGATTTGCGAACGACGAGTTCATCTTTGAGCTGTTCGATAGTGAAGTCTTTGGGGTCGATATTGGCTCTCGACATTTCCCTGAGGACAGCATTGAGAGTTTCATCGAATACCGTTCGAGGAGTCACTCGAGAAAATTCAAGCGGTCTACTTCCGAGATGTTCGAAAAGCACACTGTTGCTTCTCAATCGGGATCTCGAGTCCCCGGAAGTCGTCAGACATTCCTTTGGGGGAACGCGCTTGATAAGAATGTGCTATCCCGCTGACTCGTTGAGACCTCAGAGGACCTCGTGGGTCTGAATCAGAAGTATCTCGTGATTCTTTTCCCTTACCAAGAGTACTGCGTCCGAGGCTCCTTGTCGACGGACGCCACCGTGTCGCTTTTTGCTCCTTTCCGACACAGTTTACCACATATACAACCCATTGCTGCCCAGGGTCTACATACTACAGGTCGACCAAACAGGAATCTTCAGCTCACGAAGTTGCAACTCGGGTCGCCCGTCTGAGTTCTCTCTAGCAACCGATGCTGTTGTGGAGTTACCATGGACTCAGACCCAGTCCCGGGGAAAGGGTCACGACGTCCACAATGACGGCGTACGGACGATGAGACGTGAATGTGACCACGCTGCCCAGATGTCAACCCTCCCTCTCGTAGTCACGGCCCGTGGGCGAGCGCTAATGAGGTCGATCGGATTTCAAATCACTCTGACTTCGTTTGCCATTTCCTGTGTGAGCTGAAATCGGAACCGTTCGCGGAGCTTTCTTGCCGGTAGGTACGTAATTTCGGGGTTCGAGGCTGCTTCTGTAACATTGTGCGGGAACGCTCGACGATACGAATCTCCGTCTCGGACCTTGTGCTGGGGACTTTCTGGACTCTGAGGGACATTTCCCCTCAGCCGCGTGAATGAATGAATTCGTTTTCACTCGTATGTGTATACACTCCAGACAATTTATTTATGCTTCGAGAGGTCATCAAAGAGCTAATAAATTATCACTTATTAGCGATAACGTCTAGACGCGCGAATGAATAAATCTCACTGAATCACAACGCTGTATTTTCCCTATGCTAAAACGAATCACAAGTGTGCATTTCTGCTTTCTCCAATCCGATATATATAAATACGGTGTCGAACCGTTCTGGCTGCCCATCTTGAATATTATATGTACAGGTCTAAATCCAATCAATTCGAGTCAAATGACATGACGGTCAGTCGTCTTTGCCGTGCCCGGTAAAAGCTCATGCTACAGACCCGGGGTCGAGCGGCAGGCTTTTTTCGACGACCTTCGTCCGTGAGGCCAGATCTCCCGCTTGAATCTACGATCTAATTTTGGAACACATGGAATTGGGATTTTTCCGTCGACTTCGAGATGAGGTTCCACATTTTCGAAGACATTTTCGATACAACACTGTCGGACAACAGAACTCCACGAGTTCCGATCATCAAGAGCTCGAGACAGCAAACGTTCTTTGCTTGATTCTCGAAAAGCTCCTCTCCGAGGATTTTGTAGAAATTGACGGCCCCCACCCCCGGGTACGGTAAACTTTGTTTCCGGGGCGAAGCCAGGGGAGCGATCTTCCGACCGCTCAAATTCTCGAACCATATGTCATAGCGATAGCAGAAACGGTCGTCTGCCCAGGTGAAGCCGAAGTTCCGACCCTCCCCGACGATACGTTCAGACTTTTTCCAAGCTCGCTGCAGAGAGTGTTTGACAGCGGTGTCGTCCGGATCTGCGAAACCGTCTATCGATCGGTTTTCGGATCGATTTATAAAAATGAAACCTCGGACTTGTTTGAGATCGGCGAACAAACTCGTCAAATCGAATTTGAGATCCGTTTTCGCGAGGACGGCCGGCACCGAAACCCAAAACAAGGAGCGGTCGACTTGGAAGGCCGACGCGACGCCGAGCACGAGTTCGGAGTGAGCGGTCGCAACTTTCTCTTGCAGGTCCGAGAGTTTCTGATTCAGCAGAAAACTCTTGTCGGAATCCTTGTTTTTGGGCAAGTCGCTCAGCGTTTCCCTGAACAAGCCCGAGTCGAAAGTCTCTCTGATGATGAGTTCAATCCGGGCGAGTGACATTTTCTCCGCCTCGCTCATACCTTTGGCCGACATGACTCGGTAGACCTTGTTCATCATACCCCGTATCAAAGTCGTCTGTTGTGTCAGATGCTCGGGATCTATGACGTCGCCCTTGAAAGCTTCGCCTTGCAAATGATTGACATGTCTAGCGAGCGCGTACAACGCATCGCTCCGACCGGTGAGCTCGGTGAGCTCGGCTAACAATACGACAGTACCCTGACACACCGTATCTATGCGAAATACAAGAAACGGAACAGCTGTGTTGAAATTCGTCGACAGGAACACCGGGACGTGACTGTTGAGGTCCATGCTGGAAACGACCATGGACAAATGGAAACTGTCCGTGATGCTGAGCCGGAGCGCGCCGCTTGCCTGGTGTTGCAACGCGCATTGACCATCGATGAACAGCATGGCGTGACTGAATGTCAGCGGAAGCTTATTCGTTTTCTGTCGGACGGACGCAAGTATCTCCTGCAGAAGTTTCTGGTTCTCCTTGCTGTAGGGATAGTAGCGTTGGGATTCGACTAGCCAGGGCAGGGACTCGCGTTTCAGCTCATCGTACTGGGCCATTACGCTCTTAAGGAGTTTCGCTCTCGGTTTCTCGAAGCGAAAGTCGGTGCGAAGTCCCGGCAACGCACAGGCGTACAAATGCCAAACGCATTGGAGAAGAGTGTTGACTCGGCGTTTCTCCGTACCTTGTCTGCTCTCGGTCGAGTTGCATATGTAGATGATGGTATAACCGAGATACTCGGTGAACAGGATCAGGGTTTCCTCATCGCACTGGATGCAGGCGCACGGGTTGTTCAGTTGGTTCTTGTAGATCTTCTGCGAGGCCAGCAGAGGCGCGAACAGATGCACGAGAATGTCGTTGGAGACCTTCTCCTTCGGTGAGTCGATGAGTCCACTGCTGTACGCCACCGAAGTGACGTGCTTGCAGAACTTGTCGTCAGGCAAGCTGAACACAAGATCGTTCATCGGATCAAACACGAGAAAAGCCCTCATTCCCGGAAACACGATTCTGAGAGACAGTGATTTCTTCTCAGAGAAACGATTCAACTCAAAAGCTTGCGGGAACAACAACGAGTGGAACGGGGTCAAACAACGACAACGAAAACACCGCGACCAACGAAGCTATCGTTTGCAACAATCGAGCTGTCTCTGTTGCCGGTTATTTCGAAACCACTCGAGCACAATGGTGACGTGACGTCGTCGAAAGAGATTACGCGGTAAGGGAAAAAAGAGCCCCTTTATTCAGAGTAGATGCTCGACGTTCTACTTGAACTTACAGCGAGTCGCCAGGAAATTGGAGAAGCGTTCGCTGTTCGACTCCCTTCATATATCGGCTGCATGAAGACGTCCCTCGCCTCATGCGAAAGAGTTTCCCGAGAGGAAGAGCTTATCTCCAAGATCGTACGAGAATACACCGCAGAAGAGCCGAGCGGGTACCGTCTTGAAAAATTGTTTGAGGAGGAATCGAGGATTCTTGAAGAGACAAGCATACGGAGAACAAAACCGACTCGACATTTCTCGTTGAAGACAGGCTCTTCGTTCGCTCTGCTGTCCGGACCTGTGGGAGAATTCTGACCCGTTCTCTTGGTCGGGATGCCCCGCCCCGATTCCCGAATTCCGGGCAAATCCTCCCCTGAGTCCAAGCGATCCCGGGCAACTTATCAAAACTCGGCGTAGGAGTAATCCATCGACGGGCTCGAAGATCTTCCTGTGAGCACGTACATGGAAAATGAGGGGGGCGGAGGAAATGGAAAAAAATTCCATGGTCTCGGGAAAGCCTATTGTTGGCTGGGTCAGATCACTGTTGGATCTCTTTCCGAGGTGCCCCGAATTCTACAACGGAGCAGTCCAATCCTATAATCTACATTGCCTAGGAATCAAAGTTGAGCCGATTACTCGGATACGATTCCGACCGCATCAAGGCGCGAATGACCTCCAACCTCCCCGCTCATTCGAACATGCGTCGTCCCGCGCGATTTCCCAGGGGCCTGTGCGGGAATTCGCGCTTTAACCTAGGTATTGCTGGAGATCGAACGAGAAATCCTGGCAATCGATGCGGAAGCGGAAGCGATGATAGCCCAGACTCCCGTAAGTCTCGCAATCATCGAAGGAGCGGATTTATCTGGTACAATGGATGGTCCTTTTCGCTGCCTGGACGAAAACACTATTGTTTACGCGGGCGCTTTCGAGAGACTTTCAGGCCGATACGAGGAGATTTCGTGTTCTTACCCGTGCAGAGTCTCGCATGGCAGACGTGATCGACATGCCTCTCGCGCTCAGGTTTCACTAAATCGACAGCTCGCTCGAGACAACGATAAAGCCCTCCCAATCGGCAAACTAAGCGCACTGCGTCAATTTGTGGACGCACGAGTTCGTTGTCACGATCGCTTTGTCGAAGGACTTTTTTGTTGCATTTTTTCCCATTACGCGCGAAGGCTTCCCTCCGGATTCGGGGCACAGATTATGCTGCGATCGGTGCGTGTGCTAGACGTTTACCGCAAAATCTCGGTGGGATTGTTGAACCGCGATCAATCTGATTTCGCGACCCTTCCCTTGCACGGCTCGTAGATACAAAGCGGGGCATTATAGTCTTCAGCTGACACGCGACGGAAAATATGTAACTGGGCGCTCGGGAAGAACTACGTCTCGATTACTCCGACGGCTTATTCTACGGGACGTCAGCCGTCGAGTGATCATGAAAGAGTCACGAGTCACGAGACGTTTCGCGCTGGTGGTCAGTGCGGTTTCCACGATACTCTGTACACTGGAACACCGAGAACCGAGACAGATCCCCACGAGCTGTTCGAGAATCGCCCAGTGAAACGAAGAGCGGCGATTCCCTCGCTGGTCCCATCTTGTTCGCCGGCGGCTCAACCTCTGAAACGATTTTTCCGCTCCGCATGGTCAAATATTTAGACTCTCCACGTCGATACGCAGGGGTCCTTAGAACGGATTCCCAACATTTCTCGGTGGGCTCCTATTGTTTCAAGTCCCGGCTCAAGGTCTTCAAGGTGGACCTGTGCTCCCGAATTTTTCAGCTTTTGCGAATCATCCTATCGCTTGCTCATCCCTGTCTGGGGAGATCTTCCCATTAGTGAACCCATGCGACCCGTCTCAGAGTTTTAATCTGTCATCGCTCCAAAGTTGGGTCATATTCTATGACTACGGTAGCGACATCCAAAGAACAACGGGACGGGACGGGCTCTTGATCCTATCTCTCCGCCGCGCCGTAGGAACGAGCTTGGATTGTGAGGTGGCTTCTGTGTGGACGCTGCATCAACAGACAGGAACTCATCGCCAATCAAGCAATCCCTATCCGGCCGACTGATAATGCCGAAAGGACATCTCACTCAGTGGAATGACAGGGATGAAACTTCTCTCAACCTTGCGAAAACTGACCCCGAATCCACCTATTTTCTTGAAGGATCTCGGAGTGTTTACGTGTGGATGTTACATGACCGTGACACAAGCGAGTGGGTAACGGGTTTATGCACGCTGAGATGGAGTCACCATTACTTTCCGCCATAATCGTTTGTGAGGAGCGAAAGGAAAATGATGCTGAGATTTTTCTATCATTTATTTGATTTCCAGGAATCATTCTTCGTCCTTGGCACCAGTGACCGGTTCAGAGCACAGTTTTTTATCCTTCCCATAGCGTTCCTCGGGATCACCAGTAGTGGCCGTAACCGTATCCGTGGTGAATCGGCAGAGCACCGTAGCCGTGGCCCAAACCAAGTCCATAGGCGTGTCCGAGACCGTACGCGGCATGACCGTAGCCGAGACCAGCGTGACCGTAGCCGTAGCCATGAGACAAGACTAGGGGCTTAGCGACGACGACAGGCTTGGCCACAACCAGGGGCTTCTTGATGATGTGGTGATCGGCGCTGTACGATAATCCGTAGGAGGCTCCGTAGATGCCGCAAGAAACGGCTGCGAAGAGGCAGGCGAAGGCGACGCACTGGAAAATCGATCCAGACTTTGGTATTGGAGTTCGCGGTTTATCTCAAAATGAGCCACCGATTTCTGCTTCAAGAGATCGTTCGTTCGAACCCAAGGGACTCCGAGATTTCTCTTCTACTCACCAGAAGTGAAGAATGCATTTTCTATTTCGTTAGAACGGTGATTTAATGCCGAATTCCTCGGGGGTACCCCTTTATATATCCGCTTTCCGACCCTGCTCGGCCTTGGTGACGCGGTAAGCGTAGAAAGTTTCCTCCCCCGAGCCGACGCGACGTAGTTCCAGAATCGGATCCTGATTAGCGAGCGAGCGAAACTTCTGAAATTGGGCGGAAGCTGTTCCGTTACGTGAACGATCTGCAGTCAGTTAAGAGAAAAAAACTTCAGGGAATTCTCAGTGTCTGATCGTTGGATGGTCGGAAACTCGTGCCACGAGACCGAAAACAGTTCGCAATTACAGAATATCACTCCCAGAAAGGACCTGGCTCGCTCAAGTACCGTAAATAGCATTCGAGAATATTTCGCTCCAGTGCCTACACAAATCACGCTACGGGAAATTTTCGACGGTTCATGCATCCAGCGCATTTTTTACCTCACAAAGGTGTCCAGGAAGATTGGGCACCCAAAAGCCGATGTTCAGGGCAATACAAGGGGCGATTCTAAGGACCTTCCGACACGCCTCCTCCCGTTGCCTCCCGGACCCTCGAGATCCTAGATATAATTCATATTTCAGAGCATGTATCACTCCCTAGGCTGTGATTGCTTGGAGGACAAGCACAGCGTTCGCGACACCGACCCAGGAATAGCTGCACAGGTGCTCGTGGAAATGCACACACAATCGAAACGCAAACAGCGCTTTGCTGCGGCAGCTTGGATCTGAAACAGTTCAAAAATGTGGCTCGATCCCACAAGTTTCCTGAGCTTCCTCAAAATAGTCGACACTGTGGGTGACGAAGACCACTTGAATCGGTGAGCTTGTCGATTGCGGGGTCTCGCCGATTGACGCTTGCGAGGGTGGAATTTCGGAGGGCATAATACACCCTGAACTCACGAGCTGTGAATTTCAGTTTAGATGCTGCTGTGGAATTCTCGCCCTGATCAGCTTGATCCTCTTCTTACTGATCGCTCTGGTGGTTACTATTGTGCTCTACACGTCACCTGCGTAGTCATAAGCGCCTTGACGGTGCTCATTCCGTTTTACTTCACCCGGAGCGAGAGCCTGAAATGAAACAACGTATGCCTCTCAATCTGAAGTGTACGTCTTGTCCCGGATGAATAAAGCGATTTTTTCACGGCAAGGGGTTCCCGTGAGGAATAGCTCATGTGATGGTGCATACATAAGCGAGAGCCTTTCGGAGGCACTACGAATCAGAGAATCGGTCAGATTGATTGAGTATCCCATCCGATGAGTTCTTTCCGGACGCTCTGCGATATGTGCCTGGAATGTGCGGCTTTCTCGACGATGCACTTTGTGTTTACATTCAGGTTTTGACAGCTGAGCGCGGTACTGTTCTCCTCCGATGGACGATTTTCCCCGCATAGAATGCTCTGCGATCCCGGATCGAATGGGACACAGAGTGCTCGAGTCGATCCGATGCAAACCTGTGTAGTGGGTGAGGTGGAGTTCGAGGTTGACATCGTCAAGCGCTTACGGAAGTACGGTGTGAGATTCATCCGGGACTTGAACAACTATAACTTCTGTGACTGCATCGTCCCTCCTTTGGTTCGTGCCCACTTTACCAAGTGCCAGCGGACTTTTCCACCCCGTCCGTCACCGAGATCGTGTTTGGCACCCCCGTTGAAAGATAATTTCGACATTGACTCCTATGGCGACTTCGCTCTGCAAGACTTCTTCGTTGAACGTGACAATCGAGAGTCGATCCATGGACTTCTCCACTTCTCAGGGAAGTTCGTCAATATCGAGTTCGATGCCGTTCTCCGTGAATACAGTCTGCTCAACCTCTCGGGCAGACCGGAGTTTTCTTTAACCTGCGTTGGAACCAAGGATACTTTCAAGGATGACCTGGAGCATTTCATCGACCATCATTCTTCGTCAGTGCCTGCTTGTCCACGCGTAAACATCGGAGCCCATTTGTTTGTTTTAGCGTTTCCTGAAAAACAGACCACGATTGGGAGTGATTGCGAACCGAAAGACAAGAAGTCCCTCCTGCGAGATATCATCGACAAACGACGGGAGAATCTACCGGTGGAGTTTCCGAGTGTACTGCAATATTGCCGAAACTGGCTCGTCCCTACTATCGCCGAGCAGTCTGCTGCGTATCTCGGTTTCACGGAGATCCCCGCAAAAATATCAAGCCTTGAAGATATCATCGCGCTGAGGGAGAAGGAGATATTCGTCGAAGATTCGGACGGTCATAGCGTAGTTCCCGTAGCGATTCTCAAAAGAAGGAGGCAGTTCAATCTATTTTAGCTCGCAGTCGACGGAGCGGAACACTTGCAGCATTCGATTTCAGATCCCCTCGGTCGAGAGATCCAGAATTCGCTAGTGTCTTCTTCAACTCTGAGGGCACATGAACATATTCGAGAGCGCGGCAGTCTCCTACTCGTGTGTCGCGTCAGCGATTGCGTGTCTTATCTTTATTTGGTTTTGATGACAGATTGATCCTCTTTCGTCTTGCGATCCCATTTGTGCAACTGAATTCAATAAGAACATGACTTTATAGCACCTCTTTCGGGTCGTGCGACGCCTTCACCGTGCATACTTTCCTGTTTGACGAGAGATTCATAAATGACTTTTTGAAACTTCTCTTCTCACGCAATCGTTTCGCTCTCCGAAGCGGAGGTTAGCGAGGCTGTCCGAGCTATCTCAGATTGAGCCGAGGAGCAACTCCTGAGTCCTGAGTTCCCCGATCGGAATCGACCGTTCCATCCTCGTGATTATATACCTCTCTAGCGGCCGTAGAAACCCTCATGGGTCTTAGAGTCCACAGGATATCGAGCTGTCGTCGAGTGCTCACAGGGTTGATGCACGACACAGGTCCCGGCGGGAGATACAATCCTGATGGATTTCCATCGGGGGAGCGGAATATTCGAAACAGAAATAGGCCGGAGCGTGCGAGTATTATCCAGCTTGTTAAAGCATGCAGAGCCAGCTGCGTCGTATCCCTGCGATGATCCGCAGCTCGCATGGCTGCTTAAGACTCTCAGAAGCGCTCGGAGCTTGATGATCAGAAAAACATGAGCGAAGCGTGCGATGCTCCCGATCAAGCGCTAGACTTATCAACACATTCGAATACTCGAGCCCATCTGCAGAGGGTGCCATCGGCCGTGAGCTGCAGACGGAGCCGATGAGATTCTCGACCTGAACAGCGATCGAAATCATATGAGCGTCCGGAGTCGTTTCATAGGTTGTCCCATTGGTCGACGATTCAATGATCCTTAGGTGGGCACCTGCAACTCTCCGATGCGGGAAGAGAGCCCACTGACGACCCCAGAACCGATGGCGCCTCGTATTCAAAGGCAGCCATGACTAGAGCCACACACGTTGCAGACGATGTTTGAGATCGCCCGCCAAAAACACTCTTAAACGCTCTGTCCACGCATGGAAAGCGCGCTGTTGAGAGCTCATCGAGACAGTAAGGAACAGGTCAGGCGTCGGCAACAGCTGTTACGAAGGCTCGAAAACGCATCGGGATCAAGACGGCACCGAGGCTGAGCGTACTTTAAGGCTCCAGCGAGGAGGAGACCGAAAGTTCTCTTCTGTTGTGATCTGCTGAACTACGGATATGCCACGAAAAACAGCTAAATCACTTCTCCTCAAATCAGTGTTAGAATCCAGTGAGTACTCCGAAGCTTTTCATCCTTGTAATCGTTCATTCGATCCATGAATCGGGGTGACGGGATGAAAATCAGTGATGGGAGCGCCGCATGGCTTAAGGAAGAGAACGAGCCTCAGGGACGAGAGCCTCTTTTACGAGTTCTTCTCGATCCACGAAGGATAGGATCGTTACTCATCATTTCTCCCTTGTAGTTGATCCAGAGGATTGTGCTTTGTGTCGACGACCGATCAGGAAGCGGAAGGATCGACTCCTATATGGTCCGGCGGAGACCACGAATCGTTTCTCTGTCCACTATTTTTGCCTCGTGAGTATTCTCTCGGATATGTGTTCCTCCGAGAAGTAAGTCGTCTACGAATTTTCTCTCGAGAAGAGTTCTAAAGCATGACTTTGCAGTTATTCGCCTCGAATCTCGTTCAGAAGGGAACGGAGGATGAAGGCATAAAAGGATTCCTACACCAAGATATCATCGACGAAGTCGTCCGAGGACGACATCTCTTATGTTCGTGCTGCCGTAAATCCGGTGCGACTATCGGCTGTGTAGTGGAAAAATGTCGCAGAGTCGTGCATTTCCCTTGCGGCTTGGAGAGCAACATGACGTTCGATTTTGCTTCCTCGTCTTTTGAAACTTTCTGCCGGGATCACAGCCCTTTCCCTCGCGACCCTCCACCGGACCGTAATTCAGTTTGTTCAATATGCTTGACGAATTTCGACCGGATGCAAAAACATAAGTACAGGCCCATAACGTGTCCGAAATGTCAGAATTGTTTCCACATCAACTGTCTGAGGAAAACGGCTTTGAAATCCGGAATCCATCATTATCGGTGTCCCTTCTGTCGCGATGAAGAGACATTCGTCGCTCATTGTCAACGAAACGGAATATATGTCCCAGATCAAGACGCCGCGTGGGAACTCGAGGATGCCTTTAACGATCATTATGAGGTTCTACTCAAATGCCATGCTTTCGAATGTCTTTGCCCAGGGGGACGGAAAGTGGACAACGCGCATTGGGACATAACGAGGTACGGTCTGATTCAGGATGTTCGTTGAGCCCCGATGCAGCGATCCCTTCGGGAATAAATTATCTCAACGCTTCAAACGATAGTTGCAGCACCTGTGGATTGAACGCGACCCACGCTCGGTGCAGGAACCTGGGAGAAGATGGGATATATATCTGCTCCGACTGCACACCCATGCCACCAAGTGAGTATCCCCTTCCTGGGACGACGTATCCATTCGTTTCCTATCCATTCCCTGTCTCCATTCACCTGCGATTCCGATCGAGCACCTTCAGCTCCTGACTTGCCAGTCTCTTGTCCAAAGATCGGACATGAGTTGAATTGGACTCCGAATACGTCTACGCAAGGGAAGATATAACAGTGTTACCGGCAAGGGTCGCATTTCCTAAGGAAACCTTCCTCCTCCCGCAGAGCCACAGGCTGGACAACCGCAATGCAATGCGACTGAGTGGTTCTATTCGAAGTCATCATTCCATTTCTTGGAGCCGGATGAAGTGATTCAAACTCTCAAGAAGACCGACGAAGACGAAGATATTGACATCGAATCGGACTCTACAGAGAGCGATGCTCAAGCCCTGCGCTCCGAGAAAAGCCTCGGTTCCCCTCAAGAATCGGTCTGGGATCTGGTCCTGGAGGAGTCCAATGATCCGCAGCCAAAGGGAGACGAGCTTCGCTTACCATCTCCTTCAAAGTGGAATGATTTCAAAGTATTGATCTCCGGAAAAGAGTGCGAGAACATCTCGCAACATCTACCCTGTCTACCAACTCGGTTGCAAGAGCGACTCCAAGAGTAAGTTACAGACACTTGAAACGGACTTCGAGACGCCCTTGGTCGAGGTTTGGTCGCCAACGCCGATCAAGCGCAATTTTCGGTGCTCTAAGATACACTCTTATTTCCGCAGAACGATGGACTGCGAACCGTCGAGCTCAGCCCTCAAGCGGTTTCCCTTTCCACCCATCCATGAAAACTTCTTGGAGGCTCCTGACGGTGCATCCAAACTCAACGCCTCGTTAGTTCGAGATCCCGACAAGGGAGACAGTGCCGACCGTACTCTAAAACAAGAGCAGGACAGCAACTTCGAATATATGTCTCTCGCGTGAACTTAGATGTGTTTGAATCTTATATCTATCTCGTCCGTGACCTGAGAAACGAAATTTTCTAATGGGTACGGCCCATTCATTTCTACCTTGGCTGGTTTCACAAGATGCGCGAGCCCTTCTGTTTGAGTGAATATAGTCAATTTGTCTTCAGTTTGCGCGGTAAGCTTATAGTAGAACGAAGTTCTGGGGCAATAGTCGGATCTTAGGCGTTTTCTCTGCCGGATAGCGTATGACCAGAGATATCTTACTTAAGAGACGATTCTTGAATAAGAGAATTTCAATCAATCGGATTTATGGCTCTTGTCTTTCTTCTGTAGCTTCCTCAACAGCTTGAGCGATACCTGCATCGAGATCACGAATGCACAAATGATGGGCAGAGTGTATATAGCTCTCCAGTAGAACGGTGCGGATACCATAACAACATTAGAAAACCAGTCCGACGAAAGCCCGGTGAGCAGAGCCCCTATTCCGGCCACGTATACCACCGCTCCTCCGATAACATGTCCTTGTTTCACCAATTTCGAAATTCCCAAAGTTTTTCTGTACAAAGTCAGCACTCCTCCAATCGCGATAAGGAATAGTCCGCTATTGGCAACGAGTCCCAGCTTAGCATGAGTTGAGGCGAAGTGCGCTTTCCCCAGATTCTCTTTGTGTTGGAAGACGGCATACATTCCGCCAGTCACGCACAACAAAGCGAGAGTCTGAAACGAGAAGCTTATCGTGTTACGACCTGTCGAAATCGGCGATTGGGAAGGTGTGCCTTTCGCGGACAGGCGGGTCAGACATCATCATTTTAAGAGAGGGCCACCGTTCCGGGACTGTTCCATGGGAGTCTCGGCAGATGGCGAGGGATAATCTCACTCACCGAAAGAAACCAATGGAATGTAATGGTTCTCACAGGGAGCACAGACCGCACAGGATTTGACTTGTTGAAAATTTGCACACTTTCGAAAACGAGGAGACTGTACTGTAATAGGGAATAAATGGTTAAACGGATGGGCCGAACACTAATTTAGCTAAGAGCAACTAGTATAGGATTGATCGCCAGACGATTCGAGAAACTGCATAGGATGAAATTCCACGCGAGAGGCAGCTCCCGATCGAGAGCGTTTCGCGATGTTCTGTGGCAAAAACTAGGGGTCCTTCTCGGATCGGTAGGTAACATGAAGGTACATATGCAGGATCATTCTCCTCTCCCAACCCGATACTCACCGCGATGGTCATCAGTGCCGGATGATAGGTGAACAAAGCTAGAGAGAGGTTCACAAAATTATTATTATGGAAGTGAGCTCTCCATGCAGGGTATACGCTCTTGGGGGCCTATAATCCTCTAGATTGTCTCCCAGTAGGAATACTCACTGTTTCCCGGCTCGGACTCGTACAATAGGAAACCCGTGAAGCCCAACGCCAGAGAACTCGCGACTGACATCGTGTACTTCTTGTTTCCTCGATATTCTGACAAACAAACAAGTAATGTGAGCCTATTGGTCCCGCCCCGGAGAAAGAATTGAGGGGAGGCCAGTCCTTGACTCGGATCTCCCGCTCATGTTTCTCCCAGAGACTTCATCGACGTGGCCTTTTTCAATGGCTATCCTCTCTTCCGAGACACGTCGAACGGTCAGTGTCGCAGTGCGGGAAAAAGGTTGGAAACACGTCTTCTCAGATGTCTATGTAGCTCCTCATCCAACGGGCTCTTGGGAATGTGGAAGCGGTCTTCACGAAATTCCTTTAATCGAAGCCGACTACTATTCGAGCTCGTACTGCCGGGGAATCTGAGGCTTCTGGAATAACTACTCACGCAGGTATCCAAGGGTATTAGAGCCGCTCCCGTGGCTCCGGTGAGTGAGAAACAAGAGACCCGGAAAAGAAGGTTTCACCAGCGAAAGATTTTCTCGAACTCCGGAGTCTCCGAGCGTTGCGTCGCGGACCCAGCAAGGCGTCAATTATCTGCGAGCGTTCGATGCACACGTTTCCATAAATTTGGGAAGCTCTCCTTCGGGGAAGAGATCCCAATGAGCGTTCTCGACTCCTCTACCGGTGCTTTCAAGAGCTACTTGGGCGCTGACGATGTTCGCTCTTGGCACGCACACATGTTTCGCAGCTACAGCGCATGCGTCCTGTGTCCTGTGGGCTGCCACCAGCTCACGACAACGGCTTGTTTATTCAAAAAAAGAAATGCGCCAACGGGGTCTAGTGCCGGACAGTCCGGGAGTTGGAATGTTCCAAAGTCATCATGAGGATTAAGGACGGGGAGGCGTCAGCTGAGGAATTGATGACGTTGATTTCTGCCTACAGTTGTCTCGTACGCTTCCGACGACACCCTAGCAAATCCATTTCTCTCCAACCACGGCGACTCAACACTGAGTGAGTTGGATGGACATCTTTGGCGGCAAAACGAGCTTTATGTAAACTGGGATCATCGCAGAACCTCCTCTGGGGAAAGAAGTTCGCGGAATTATATCATGCCCTGTATACAAGGTGCTCTCTTTGCAAAAACCTGTGCCCCTTTATCGCCATGAGAAGCGCTTATAGCTGCAGGAGTGAGTGGGATCGGTGCAATCGATGGATTCCGGGGAAGGATGGCATCACTCGAGCCGGCTCTTTCTCGACAGGTTCAGTTTTTCCATCGAAGTCAGAAGTCTTAGATGCCCGACATTCCGAGAATGCCTCGCAGTGATCCATGAAGAAAGTGAATGCTCATCGAACTCGGGACTCGGCGCCGACTGATGGAACCCCTGCGAAACCGGGAAGATATGAGCAATCTTCAGGGAAGGGCTATTCCTGCATTCACAAGAAGAGAGTTCAGCTTTTTCGCATAGACCAGCCCATATGAGAGAACCTGGAAGGGTCGCTCTAATCATTCGGCGAATTCGAATTGGTCTCGGAATCGATGATCGTCATCTGAAGCAGTGCTTGTCTCGATGATTTGAACTCGAGTCGTTCGGATGGAGTGAACGATTCGATCAGCTACGTTGCGTTATGGTTATGGTTCATTGTGATCTAGATAAAAGTGTATATCCGTTTGTATGTATACGGTCAATCAGCCTCTCATATGAGGTGCGAAATTCGGCAGATCGCTCTACGGAGCTCATATACGATCCAGCGAGAACTCCGGGTTAGAGCCGAAAGTCCCGAACGAAGCAGCCACGCCAATCCGCCATGGGACTCCCGTGGGCCAAAGAGTCGCCTGGGAACAATCTGTCCTAGCTCGCTTTTCTAACAACGGCAAATTAGGAGTTTATCGATAGGTCCTCGCCGCGATCTTGGAAGAGTCGACAGAAGTCAGGATCTCAAGAGCAACTGTCGAGGGAGATCAAGGCATTACTGACGAGAGGGGTTCGGAGAGAATCCGGATGAGAGGAGGATGCCAGGACAATGGATTTGTCATCTCGGCCTGTGTGTCTTGCTCCTATTCTCGGCAGTAGTCTTCGGCGCGCACTTTCTGAAGAGGTGGTGATTGTCGGAAACATTCCTCCGGGCGAAAGAATAATAGCGATCTCTGCGGAACTAGGGGAGATATATGAAGCGGGTATCGCGTGATACAAGCTCCTCGAACTTCCAAATGATCCCCAGTCCGCACGGAATCTCCCCCCAGTCTATTCCCAATCGATGCTCCAAGAGATCAGGGCGACGGCGAGCAATACCCGGCAGGACTCTAATCTCGCTCTCCAGTGATGTGCGTATCTTTGATGTAATCAGTCAGACGCTTCCGGGTTCCCGGAACGGTAGACGAATGCGATTATCTGGCATCCTGGACTCGCTCCACCTCTCGCTCTCCCCAGAATGGAGCTCTGAGTCTTCGACCACGGGAGGATGTGGCGAACTGTCAATCACCCCTGAACTTCGGAGCCCGGAGGGGCCCGATGGTGGAGCGACGTCATAACCCAACTCGATACAGGAACTCATGGATTTCAAAGTATATTCCGTGGGCTCCAACAGTGGAGGCCGTCGATACCCTCCGAGCGACAGACTTGTGCCTTAGACTGAGCGAACCGATCCCGTGGCCCTTCCTCTCCATGATGATCGACGCTCCGAGCTATGAGTTAGGAGCTCTGAAACGTGAGATTCGCTTTTCCGATAAGCAATACGTATGCAGAGGTTGTTCATAGTGTCTGAGATATCTCGTTCTTTCCGGGAACATCATTTTTTCCTATGCGATTCGTTGACCACCATCGAGTTTTCGCCTGACAACGGAGCGACCCCGGACAGCTCTAACATCTCAGGCGATGAGTAGGGTCATGAGACTCGAGATCCTTAGGGAATTCGATACAGAATAAAAATTATTCACTGCCTAGGAAGACTTCATTCCTCCGCGCATTTGACGACGTCCGTGTGTAAGGAGACGTTTCCTGCGACATCAGGTCTCAATGCGGGAATCGACTATTAACGATGGTCCACTTGATCAAGCGGATTTCGGTACATAACAATCTCGCGGAGGTTTTGATTTTCGTCTCGATAAGGCCATTAGTCAAGTCGTGTATGTGGTACGAAGGGCTTCCCGCAATCCTATCGTCACAGTCAAGGTTGCGTGACCACTTGGTGTGCGAACATTGTTTCACGACCGCCGGATGGAGCGCTTAATCCGATTGTCCAAGACGACTTCCCACCGGAGTGGAGCACGCTGTTCCAAAGTGACTCCTGAAAACGCAGTCTGATTACTCTGGATGCATGTGCATGACATTAGACCGAAGACCTTGCGAGGGACCGCCTCGATAATCAGAATCGCTGAGCAGTTATGCGAATCGCGGCTGAGGACGCCCTCCACGGAGGATCAGGATCATATTCCGTGACAAGAATTTCGAATCCTTGTGGTGAAATGAGTTTAATCGGGCCCGGATCGATGCAGACCGCGCAAACCGCAATCTGCAGGTCTTGGGGAAATGAAGGATAGATCGTAGACCACCGCTTGTGTCTCGAGGCCACTGCCATGCGATCCACGAGGAGGGAAGGATCCGAGGAATTCCGAGCGTCAATCACGAGAGGATATCGTCTTCGGATTTCGAGGCGGCCGACCCTGATCGCACCAGTCGAATCAGACTCAAGGAGCATAGGCGACTTTCGCGAATGATCCACGGCCGTGGAGCTTCTCAAGTATTCTTCTCTAGAGCACGGCCCGATCCGTCCATCCGAACGAATATGGCGAATGGAGCCTAAATTACGCGTGTCTTCTCCTTCGGGGGTTGGGAACCAACAGAGCTCTCCCAGTTTCGTGCCGAGCTCCCTCGTAGCCCAATGCCCTATCGCTGCATGCAATTCACGTGCTGTCGGCTACAGCTCCGGACAGTAGGATCGACGGATTCAATCGAGGGGTAGACATCTGGGTTTTATTACTACGGTTGAGGCGCATACTTCCGCTGGTCCGCGACATACTCTGTCGATAATAATATTATAATCGGATTCGCTCCATGAATCTACGAATTATCCTGTCGGACTCTGCAGATAATGACTCACTCTCTAGCCAGAGCGGGCATCTTCCCAAGGGAGAGCGGGATATGCGTCCGCGTCATTCGGAGGAAAGGCTGTTGCGGCTTTGGTTTGAATCGTGGAAAGCGCCCACAGCTCACTAAACATCATATTGGTGATCTGATAAAACTCAGTTCGACTGATATCGATCCAATAGAAAAAATGCTCGGAGGTAGGGACGGCGTTCAGGTAGCTTTTGCCGTGCAACGTACCCTCATGGAATATCCCCGCAGAGACGTTTTATCCTGACGATAAAAACTGAGTGTTTCTGTGTGTGAATCAGCGACCACACGTTTCTTGATTTTTCTATCATGAGAAAGGTCTCAGTTTCAGGGGGCTGTGGTTAAGCATTGTAGCCAAACAGTCTCCAGATCTACACGGACTCATGTTCCCATCTATGTCGAGCCAGAGCCGCCCATTTGAGAGAATGAGACTCCTTGAGGAATCAGGAAAATTATCATTTCCGGTTTTGCCTACCCCCCCCCCCCCGAGGCTGGATTTTCCAGCTCAATTATTTCAAGTTCCTCCCCGAATCACTAGCTTGTTTCACGCAAAACGCGTGTTCGACACCGGTATTCAATTGACTCCGAGCGACCGAAATAGCCAGGGAAGCAGCCGTTTTGACTGACAAGCTGTATCGCCGCGTGCGAACGAAAGCTTCCAGTCATTGTTGCGCTTTCTCGGAACTTCTTAGAGGACACAGCGAAGAATTTTGACCGACTGAGGCAAATCAAATCTCCCGGGTTGAGCGTCGAGAGGACCCGAATTCGAGGGTTGTGATCCTCTTCCGTATGGATGTCTTCTGTCTGTGAGAAGGTCTGTCCTCAGCATCCGGTCTTCTTCTGCATCGGAGCTTCTTCCAAGCGAGTCCGCCCGTGATTTTATACTTTCATCTCGAGGAGGTCTCCGCGTGAAACTCCACATGCGGGTCATGGCGACCTCTCTGACGGATGAATTCCCTATCGCTTCCGACTCTTACGCAAACGCTAATACCGAGCCCCTATACCTGTGGTCGGTATCGAGGGTTCTTGTGAATAGACGTCGGGACTCTCAGTCCTCCCGGTCGATGAACGGGAGCAATACGAGTCGCGTATACGGCTACGCTCTCCACTGCCTCGGATTCCGAGCGTCCTCTGGCTCCATGCTTTCCGAGCGCACGACTCTCCGACTAGGATGGAAGACTGACTCCCAGGCTGAAATTCCTAGTGGATAGTCGATTCCCTCGGCGATTACTTAATCTGATTCCACGAGGTATCAATCTGTCGGAATCAGGGACGGAACTGACGGGAACGAATTCCGGTCATTGCGGTTCCGGGAAGCTGTTCAACTAATCGTAGCCTATCCAAGGATGGAATCATTCGAAAACGAGCGATCATGCCACGATCGAAAACATGACAACACCCTGACAGTGAATTGGACCCGCTAGTAGCCGTTCCCCTTATCGATGAGCAAGGTCGAACCCAAACAATATTGTGGCGCCGATGGATAACACTGCAGCGTCGATTGTGGGAATTCTAGTCGCTCATTCCCTGCTCGTCGAACCTGATGCTCTCCACGCAAAACGTTGCGCTGAATCCACACGTGCCTTGGGCGGAGTCCAGAGAGACCGGCTCTTAATTCTTTTCTCTTGCTGGCGATCAAGCCGATACCGTGACCGGCTATCGCGATCGATCCCTATAAATCCTCGATGAATGTCCTATGAGCTTCCGGGGAGATAAAAGGAGGGTTATGGACTATTTCAAGCTCCGTTGGAGCGTTCCATAATTTCCTCGACACCTCACCCGGCCCCGAGATACATCAACTTCCATGAATATTCACGGAGGTAGATTTGGATACTGATGAGAGACCTAATTGTTTCCTCCTCGCTCTAGCTGGGGGGTTCGATACGATCGGAAGCAGAGGAATGAGTCTGACGTATGGTAAAATAAACCTTTATTCGTACATACGTTTCGCTCACATGGCATACACTTTTCAACATTTTTCCATCTCATAGAATTTTCATGAAATCTCCAGTATATACAACGGCAAACTTTCGCACAATCCGAGCGAAACGTCTCGCTAACTGTACAGAACAATCCTAGCCGCAGTCGGCTCAAGAAACTATGGTACACCATGACGAATCTCTCGCTGAAGTCTAGAGAAAAAAATCATTATAAAGCGCTGTGGGAATTGCGCCTCTGGTTAAAAAGAAATATTCTCCTCAAAAATCATTCCCCTTCTCGTGATCCCCCTCTAATACAGCATGTGGTGACGATCTTGAGATGAGAAGATGAAATCGCCCGCCGGGGAAAGTCACTTGGGATAGTCTCTCAGAGTCTCAAGTTCCTGCGGCTAACATTCGAATTTCAAGGAAGGGCAAGAGATGAGTTGAGCGATATTTCTGCCGGGCGATCGCCCCTACGGCCGGTCGGGCCGGGCGGTCAGTCGGTCGAACGGACGGTCGTTCGCTCGAACTCTTTGCGATTCACAAGAAAACAATCTCCGCCAACAGAATTCGGGATAGTTCACAGTCTAAGAAACGAGCTTTGAGCGCATCCTCGAGTAGGAGATCAGGGACCAAGTCCAGGCGCGGGGGAAGAACGAGAAGAACGACGGGGGGGGGGCAAGGGCCGAGCGAGCGGAATCTGAGTCAAGTTTGAGATTTTGAAGAGGCAACGGAGAGGTAGAAATTCACTTTCTTCTCTCTTCCGGTGGAAGTGAGCAACCTGTATATTGTTTGTTCGTGTTTTTATTTGAAATCATATGTAAATGTAGGTATGTATGCTCGTAGAAAAAAAGGTGTCTGTGTGTGTGTGTTCAGATGTGTTGTCGTTCGACTTCATGGAAACTCATCCATGAATAGATGAGCGATATGATCATAAGTGTTTTTGGGAGCAGCGTTCCTGTCGATCTGTTAATTTCTTTACACGATCTTTCTGCTGACTGATGAATCATCCTCGAACGACACTCGACAGAGTCAGGTCACCATCGAAAAGTCGACGCTCCGACCCTAGCACACGGCGACCTGGCCTGTCGTCATCGGTTGATTATCCGAGTGAATGATCGATCGTATGCTGGGCATCTTTGTACAACGAGGTCATCTAACATTGAGAGACATCTAAACAGAATGTTTAACGGGATCGACACTCGTTCACATGCGTTGCCGCTCGAAGAGTGGGTTCGTACTTTCGCCGCGACTCCCGCAAAACTCTATATACAACTCAAAGCAAACTCTCCCCTCAAACGCAAAGGCTTCAAGCAGCGATGCCGGGTTTTTCTACGGAAAGCAGGCGGGAATTCTCCAGCCCGTTTCCATTACTTATCGATGAAGTCCAGATGCTCGTTCGAGCTTTCCGAGCGAAAACTGCTCCGTAAGCGGAATTCCCGCCGGGGAGCGTTGCCGCGACCACGAGGTGCAGTGGGAAGAGGCTCGCATCCAACGCTCTCAGTCTTCCTCGTGGTTCTGTATTAACGAGTCGTCCGCGTTCTCTAATCATCATCATCGACTTGAATTGTCAGCAGAGTGAAGGAGGCCATCACAGGTTGCGTTTTACTCAGATCTACGCCTCGGTCTTTCAGTCGATCGATCGAGGATCGGCATATGTAGATCGTCCTCTCTCGCGGGCTCTGCGGAACAGCAGGTCGATTCCGAATTGTCGAGTCCTTCTACAGTGGCTTTCGAGCGATGCCGCCGCGGGCTCGCTCAAGCGATAAAATGGACGCAATCGAAACAACGGATAAATTTTGAGATCATCCTCAGCACTGTAGAAGGTGTGATTCGACTCTTGATAATCCGCCTCATCGACATTTCATCGATGGTCTCACCTGATTTCGTGATTGATTAACGGAAGGACCGACCGATTGATTGATTGATTGATTGATCGATCGATCGGTTTGATGGTCAGACGATCGATACCGTGGCCGTCGGCTGTGTCCGGAGCGTTCGAACACCGTTTTTGATTGGAACTGTTGTCATGACTGCTGTGTGCAAAAGCGTTCTTCGTGCCTAATCTATTGAAGCACCGGTATGGTTTTCGTCGGTGAGAAAATCACGTGGGGCTCAAATGGTGAATAAGGGTTCGCATTCAGGAAGGGGCTCAGCGGCGGGAAACCGGTGAACGGTAGGCCTGCCGCCGGGAATTGGAAATGCGTCGGCGAAGAACTGCTGGACGAATATCGCGGCGAAGGGAACGGCAACGGGGACATGGGATAGAAATTCACGCCCGGCACGAGCGCAGTGTTCGAGGCCTGATTCGAAGTGGGTCCTTTCGTCTGCTGATTCGGCAGGAAGGGGCTCGTGAAAGTCATCACGGGCGTCTGGAGCGAAGGCATTTTGCCGTTGAGCGGGGATGGGGGTACCGGGATCGGAGGGGGTTTGGGTTTCGATTTGATCACAGATACAGGAACCGTAGCAGACCCCGATGATTTCGGACTGGAGCAACTGTCCGTATCGGATTCTTGCTGTTGACTGGCCTGCATTTGAGCGATCATTGCCTGCTTAATCTTTTTGTGAATCGGGCCGGGAGACGAGGGACGATGCAGAGATTGCGAGGGATGGTTGTGATGATGCTGATGAGTGTTCTGAGCTTGAGCGGGTGACGGCTGTCCAGCTTGTTCTCGGGCGAGTTTATCTTCGATCGATCGTTTTCGGGCGCTCAGATTCCACGCGCCGTTATTCGAACTTTCTGATTCGGAACGGCTTCTGGGCTTCATGCTGAGATCTTCGGCATCGTCAGAAAGCGGTTCGCTCTTTATTTGGGGAGGCAACGCTTGAGGCGGAGGAGGACTGGCGTCCTCGTTGCTCCGCCGTTGTAGCTGTTCCATCTGCTGCTGCTGTTGGTATACCCGGCGGAGCTGTTCGAGGTCACCGAATTTCGCCAGGTTGAAGTTCGCGTGTTGCAGGCTCATGGCGGCTTGGACCGCGGCAGCCTGAACCGGTGATGGGCTGCTGGGCTGGGCGCTGTTGGGATATGTGTAAGAGCCCATTCGCTGCGGGGAATAACCGCCCGGAGACCACGACCCGGAACTGTACGGTGGTGAGAGTTGAGCCGACATCGGATCCATTTTGACGTGGAAGGACACTTTGTTCTCGGTCTTCACCATATCCGGGAGAGTGACGAAGCGATAAACGAACTTTTGACCCAAAACCTTCTTGATGATGTTCTTGTCGTAATAGTATCTGCGGCAAAGGTAGGAGACCGTTAGAAAGGCGTCCGGAAACCGCCGTGAAGATATTGCGTTCAGCTTCGGAGCCCCTATTCGAACACTGTCAATAAGCTCCGCATTCGCTCCGGGAGCGGCGGGATTTTTTTCTAGTTGATTGACGGACACGAAAAGACGGGAAGGTCACAGGGAAATACGGAACTCACCGGAGGGCTCTGGATAGTTTGTCGTAGTTCATGTTGTGCTTGTTCTTCCGTAATCCCCAGAGTCGGGCAACTTCCTCCGCGTTAATGAGTTTGAACTCGCCCTCGACGTTATTCGTCCACGATATGATGTGCCGGTATTGATTCGAAACGAGCAACTCGAGAAGAAACTGCCAAAGCGTGATGGTGGTTTCCATGCCTAGAAGGAGAGAAAAACAAATGAATGTTATTTCTAATCGAGTGGAGCACACCACATGCCTACGAAACGCCACCGATGTTTATTAGAGGAGACGACAACGGAAATTGTCCTCCGGGTCTGTCCGTTCCGTCGTCCGAGGAAGCAGTGCGGTCGAGATCCCGAAATCTCTGCAGTCGACATCCCGAAATCCCTGCTCGATGGACGCAGACAGACGAACGTACGTACACGTGCCGGAGGCAGTACGTGTCGGAAGGGACTCAGTGAAACTGAGAGGCTCGAGTTTCGGCACGGAGCGCCGAGTCCTCAAGAGAGCACTTCCGGAATCTCTATGAATTGCCGCGATTGTTTTCGACCGGGCAAGAGCTGGCTGTCTGCCGGCCGTATCGAGCCGCAATGTCGCCGCGGAACGAACAAGGTCTTCCCGGCCGTAAGAATCTCGGTTTCTTAGAGATACATTCTGTATCGCTACCGCTGCCATCTCGTCGTGGCCACGATTGCCGCGGAGACCACAGCGGCTGCGTAAACTGTGAACACATCCCGTTCCGTGAACATGCCATCTTCCGGCAGCCAATTGACCGTGTTGCTACCGGACGGACGGACCGAGGGACGGACGGATACCGTTAATGATCAGATGACAGCTAGAGAAGATCCGCGCCTGCGCATCGGCGATTTCCGTTCGAGAGAGCCGTCAGATCTCGGACTATCTTCTTTGGGGACTCACTCCACGAGGGTACTTTTCCACATTCTGCCCCATCAACAGAGAAATCAAGATCGAGAGGAGCGAACGTTAACGTGGCGGTACGTGGTCGCTTTGGATTCTCCTCGAGATCGCCGAAACGTCACACGAGCGGGGACTTCGAACCGGGAACGAGACCGGTCGACCAAAGCTAGGATCGGTCTTGCTCTCTCTCTCTCTCTGGGCTCGCCGGGAAATACCGGGAGACCCGGTCCTATCGATCGAGACTTTTCCCAGGTAGCGGAAGATTGCGGTAAGTGTCCTTGTAGGCCAGCCAAGAACGAGGCTGCCGTGGACCGCACCGGAAACGAGAGAGCGCAAAGATCTCGGCCCTCAGCATGGTGACTTGCGTGTTATCTTTTTCCATCTCAAGACGGAGGAGGCCAGAATCAGTGAGTTAGTCAGTCAGCGTTTCCGGAAGAACGTGACACCGTTAGAGCGTCATGATGGCGATTGCTTGGATCGGCTAGCTAGCTGGATGCTTCGCGGCGAGCGAAGGAACGCGCGCGCGTCCAGAGGGATTCCACTGTTCAATTATTGGAGTTGGAGAACGGATAGCCGTTCTTTTTCATCTGAAATTCTGCCGGAAATTCCTGAGAATTCTTCTTTCTTCGCAGCGCGGCTAGAATCATCTGTCTCGACGGCACCTTGGATCACAGTCGGGTAGGAAATCGGGTTCAACAATGTCCGATGATTCTCCCCCCGAAAGGTTGACGGATCTTTGGCGTCGACTCGGACGGAGTGTCCAGATCTACGTAGCTTCTACGTAGCTTAGCGCGTTCTATCGATGGTCGTCGGACGGGTATTGGAGAAAGCCAGTGTCGAGTTACCGAACACTCGCGGGCGGTCAGTTTCGGCAAGGCGAATAATGTGCTCCGAAGGAACTCGATGAGAAAATTGACCCCGGAGCTCCTAGGAGGTCAGACATTCTGAGAGATTGTTTACGGAGCGGCAAGCGGATTTGTCCACCACGGAACAGCAAAAGAAATCGGTGGCTTGCCCGAGTCTCTCCGGCGCCGCCGACGCCGGTGACACGAACACTTACTAGACAAACGCAGGCAGGCGTACAGACCGACGGAGGCAGATAGCCACGGTTAAGTGAACTCCCGACCATCCAACAGAGCAGCCAGCCATTCCAACAGCCCTGCTTCCATAATGTCAGCCGACCAAACGAAAAAACCAAGCAGCGAATGAACGAACGAATGTACTCGCGCTACAGGAAACCTCTAATTGGACGACCACGCGGACTCTGGCTAGTGAACGGATAGAGTTCGTCACGCGATGTACGAACGACTAACGAAGCGTTTTGCTCCTCGATTTCAGAGGCAAATCATCCATCTCTATTAGTTGTTGCAAATTTCCAAGCTCCCGTCAGAGGGGGCTTCCGCCAACGGTCGACCAGGGGAGAGCGTGACGGTCGACGTCTGACCGTGACTCCTGAAGGTGGTGCGCGGGTTTCGGCACCGGCAAGCGCATCGGTGACCCGAGAGCAACGCAGACCGCTTCCTCAATCTCTGATCGACGAGAATTGTTATCTAATTGAGACCCGGCCGCGGATCAGCTGCGCGCCGTAGACCGATGATAATCCAACGCAGTTCATATTCGGGAACGCTTTGTCACGTTCCACTAGAACAGAGGCCATCATCATTATTCAAAACGAGTGCGGAGTTATCTCTGTCATCATATGACACAATGATTCGAGAGTCTCTCGTTGCTCGAAGGGCACACTCCAAGTTCGTTCCAGGTCCGCTTCCGAAATCGGTTCACGGACCGAAAAGGTTCACACCGCTTCCTTCCGTTTATGCGCCGTGTTCCCTTTAGAGAAAAGAAATAGACGTGCACTTCCGCTTTCGGTCGATGTCGCTTTCGTCCGCCGTCCGACCGAAACTGGCCCCGACGTATCTCGAGCACGATGTCGAACTCTGGGGCGAATCGACCGACCTATGTTTTTCCTTCTGCCCTAGCTATCCGACGGATGGCTGACTGAGCCGACTCGCTGTTCGCTCGGCTATCAATCTACCCCCACAGGTCCGGCTCACGATCGAGGGGCACCGGCACGTCGTCGTCGTCCACGACGACGACGACGACGTATTCATAGCGAAAGAAGGGGCCGCCGAACTAAAGGAAGTCGGAGCATAAATCCGATCCGAGTTGTTGTCGTCGTTTCTGTTCGTCTTCCTTTGAGCGAGTTTCGGCTACCGTGTCTCCTGCAGGCGCTCCGACCTAGCAGGAACGATGAATAAAGCGACCATGCTCGGTGAGGTGTGCTTGTTTTGCACGGTATTCGAAACGTTTTCCTTTTCCGCCGACTTCGCCGAACGGAAATTTCAACAAAAAAAAAGAAGCGTCCGAGAGCCTCTGTGGTCGTGAGTGATGTTATTGTTGCCCTTGTGCGGCTGATTCCATTCATCGGAGTCCCTTCTCTCAACGAATGATTCTGAACGAATGAACTATTCTCTTTTCGGCCGGCCTGCCCGCCTGACTGTCCGTCAATGAGTGACCTGAGAACGACAAAACGCGGTCCAGAAGGTCCTGAGCGACGTTGAGGGCGACGCTAGTCTGGTTAGCGTTGGCGGAACCCGACGAGCCGCCACTCCGAGAGGGAAATGCTAAGCCGACGTACTTCGTCGTGCACGGCAGCCGAAAATGACCGTTGGAGTCAACGATGCGTGGAAGTATTTAAACTCGCTCCGTCCTCCTGTCCAACGGCTGAACGTGCACCTGAATGCCCCCTGTCTCCCCTCTGAACCTTTGTTCTGACGTCGGGATGAGACATTTAACTTCCCACGATGAAGAAGATGCGTGGCGCGCCGTTTTCTTCACGGCCGCCACCACCACCGACGTCGGATTGTTGTACGGCACGCAGTCAAGCGTAGATGACCCTTGGCCGTCCATCCGGTCGTCTGTCCGTCCGCCCGTCCGTCCACCGGCTGAACGCCTCCGAGACCCACTCGACGAACGAAATGAGCAACGGTCTGAGCGAAATTTCCCAAAAGTCGAAGCGTGGTTCTGCTTTGGAAAGGTCCGCGGAACTCCATCGGACTCATCGTCTCGGGGATCTTTCCTGAGAGACGACATCTTGTACATTGATTCCAATTAGCCGCCCTCCGGTTCGATCCGGGAACGGCTCGATCGCATCCTATAGCAGCTCATGATCAGCTGCCGTCAAAAGAAGCGGAGATTCTCTGATCCAATCTGACATGAGAGCAAGACGACCATCCTCCATCATGGATGGGGAGCGAGCCCGACGGACGGACGGACGAACGGACGGATTGACTGACTGACTGAGTGACGAACGCCTAGATGGACGGTCGGACGGATGGATCAGAGAGAACGACATGAACTAGACGCTGCTGCGGCGCCGAACGATGCCAGATGTAAACAAGGCCCGATCATGTGGCAGACGCATTATTGTTTACGTTTTACAGTTGTAGATAAAAGATGCGAGTTCCTTGTTTTTTGCTCGTCTTCCTTTCATTCCGACTTTGTTTTGTTCGAGGGAGAGTCCATCCGTCGCTCGACCGCCCGAGGCTTCTGATCTTTACGTCTCTTCATCTATACAGATCGCGACTGGTTTAAACAGATCGACTCAGTCAGAACGAGACATCGGCGCGAGTAGAAGAAGTTAGAAAGAGGCGCCAACCTTGGTACGAATCTCGTGCGACAAGCGCTTGACTCTGAAATCTTTCATTGCTACCGCCATCCCGAGCTTTCAATGTCACCGAGTTGCTTCGAACAACTCCATTCCGATGCCTTGCCGACTCGGATCGTCAGCCTCGGTGTTGGCGGTGGTGGAGCTGTTGGTCTTCTGAAGCAAAACCGGACCGAGCTTTCACTCGGAAGTGGTTCAGACAGGGGACAGCTGCTGCAGCTCTTGCTCTCGGTCGACTTCGTCTCGACAGAGGTCAATGCCGGAAGGTCCTCTAACCACCGAAGCAATCTGCGCAGCTTCCTCCGCCTGCGAACTCTGCGCCAGGAGTTCAACCATCGAAAACCACGAAGATTTCTCAGTCGGTGGCATTGACGGATCGTTATGGTCCACGCGATCATTGCACTGTTCCCCTGGGCCCTCCAATTCTTCGAAATTATATCGATGGCGAATCGGACAATTCATTGTCGAATTATCATCGCTGAGGACTTGTCCTGGATTTCTCCACAACTGTCTGACTTGTCTGGATACTGTCGAATTAGGTACTACATTCTATCCGCTCACGGCCGGCAAGTGGGAATCGGAGGCGGTGTTCGGCAAAAGACGGCAGCCGAC